ACATTTCCCGATCCCTCCACCCTTCCATCGCTCCCTCCCTTAATCTTACCCTTCCTTGTCATCCTCCTCCCTTACCCTTACCCTTGTCACCCTCGGACCTCCTCCAGCCTCCTCCGTTACCCTTACACTTGCCACCCTTCTCCATTACCCTTACACTTGCCACCCTTCTCCATTACCCTTACAATTGCCACCCACCCTCCCTTACTTTTACCCTTGCTCTTCGCCATCCCTTTCTTACTCTTTCTCTTACCCTTGCTTCCCTCCCTCTTCCCTCCCTTTCCTTCCTTCCTCGTGCGCTTTATTGATATGCGTGCACGTTAAACAAAAGGCAACCAACACGAGACATAACACAAAAACATTACACATGATACAAAAATATGATCATTCTTCGTCATTCAGATTTCGTGCGAATTTTCAAACGCAAACTGCAATCAGACCAACGTCGAAGTTCTATCGATTCCATTATGAAACTATCGGGATACAGTCCACTGCGTACATCAAGCCAATGAAACAACGACAAGTTCTGAAGTGAGTGGATGACCAAAAAGTCATCTCTTGCCCAGAGTCCAGACAAAGAGCAACAGAATCAATTTCTTCCGTGTGTGATCATAACCCCTCAACTTTGTCTGTCATACGAGCAAGAACGACTATATTTTGTGTGAGTGTCCTGAATTATCAAGATCATGGTGAGAACTATATACTACAAAGGAAGGCGAATGAAGCGTTGATCAACAGATACTGCAAAGCTATATATATGATACAAAAGAAGGCCACGAAGCGTTGATAATGGGATTGACAATGACAAAATGCAAGAGATGTTTAGCGTTTAGCGAGCAACAAGATGGGTCATGTGAAGGCTTCGGCATCAAAAGCAGGAAGACACTCAGATGGTGAAGAGGCCTCCAAAGCCCTTGATCTTCAGCAGGACGGCTTTGAGGCGTCGCTGTGATATGATGAGTGTGACGCACATCTCAGCTTCGAACACACATACCCAAAAGAAGCCTTCTGAGATTTGTTCCTCTTGCGCATCGCCAAATAAGGACGCGGCCTCTGGGTCCTAAACAAAAATCAAATGGGCAAAGAGATGTTCCGAAATGGATATCTTGAAGGAGCAACCTACCGGATAGTAGTCAGCCTTGTAAACGATGAAGGCTGGAGCTGGAGCAGTCCGTTGATCAACCGTGCGCTGTGGACAAGACGGGGAAATCAGTGGCCGGGAGATGTATGTCGCGGACATGCCGCACCATGAGGTTCTCGTCGTCAGGCAGAGCATGGATGGGAATATGAATTTCCCGGTTGCGGGCTGGCTGAAAGTCGCGAAGGGTGACTGAGCCACTGAGGGCGAGGGTGAAGGATGGCAAAACCGGATGCGAGCGAGGCATCATAGATAGAGAATGAAACGCTGCACGTTTTAATTTGTAGCAGCAGCAAAGGAGCGTTGGGGCGGGGGTGGTGGCGGTGGGTGTGATAAGGAAAGAGGGATGCAGGACAGAGGGGAATTAATATGGGATTTTTGGGGTGAAGAGGTCCAAATAGCCGTCAAAACAGCGGCGACCTTGGAATTCCTTACTTGAAGTTTAAAATTTTCGTTCCTGGATATCCTGGATCGTTATAGGCCAAAAATGGTTGAACCGCAGGAACCGTGTCCTTCGCCCTTTGCCGCCGATCGGCGCGTAGGGGGGCTGGCTTGCCAGAAAGAGACTGGCGGGGGAGTAATGAAGGGAAGAGATGTAACCATGCGTCCAAGCGCCCAGGAGTGCACTGCCGAAAGTTGTGAGAAACCCAACCCGCTCAACGTCCAACGGTTGCCGCCTCAAACACAACTCTGTGAGAACAAGCGATACTTGCTCTCAACAGCCAATCCACAGCATTCCCGACATTTAGAGACTCCTCCGCACCCAGTCCACACTACCTGTTGTCCAAGGACCGGACAATAGGTGGTGGCGATAGCCTCTCCTTGACTCGTTCCCCTACAGCTGGTACGCCCAAATTCCTGTGAAACCATATAGAAACGCCGAGTCCTTATTCCTCCAAAGCTTATAACAGGCTCTATTGACGACCACGGAGAAGAGAGCACCCCAAAGTCAAACGTCCAAGTCATTTCACCACGGCTCAACAGCATTCCAACGCCTGCTTGAGGAGGCAGCAATTCGGGATTTGGGACCCCTTGCAACCTGTACAACTGTCTAGTGTCAACGAAGGCCTTTGTTGCTCTGGATAGGAAGCCGTCCCATCCAAGAACAGAGGACCGAACGGGTGGAAACGTCGGGTTCGCAACCGCCTGGCATGCCTCCTTCACGGACATGGAGAGTTGCGCAGTGAGCGGCAGAATAATGCTGCACATTCGCCGCTCAGACACCTCCTTGGGATCGCCCAGTTCACGATAACGTCGTTCTCCACTACAAGAGGCAACGTTCGACTTTCAGACCTCTTTCAAACAGTTCAATGATTGGTCTCCACAGAGGCCAATTAGGGGGTGCTCCAGGTGAGCAAACGCACTCAGGACGAACTCCTCGGCATGTCTTTGAATGAGCCTTGTGCAGATCGGCTTCAATGGACACTGTGCAGTTGAAGCCCCATGCCACATAGAGGCATAAATTTCCAAACGCCTCCCGCCGTAGGTTGGCCTTCATGCAGATGGAACCAGTGGTTCTGAGACTTCCACAAATGTCCAAAGGCTTCAAACCTGAATCATGTCCCGCTCCTGAGCTTTCAAAGCCGTCACGTGATGGGCACATATCGTAGCAAATGGGTGAGTTGTGTATTTCCACTTCGCTTCTAGAAGTAGAACTTGACAGGATATCCAGCGTAGATGGAGGATGTGGAAATCTGACCGGCAACGGAGGTTTGAATCGAGAAATCCAGAACCGCACGCGGCTTTGTGCCAGCACCTCAATATTCTCGCCAAAACAGAGGAAAAGGAACAGAGAAGGCGCTGATGGCTGCCAAATGACAGACAGACTGCCTGTCAAAGTTGTCAGACTTGGGCTCGGCTAGTCGACGTGGTAGCGAAGGGATAACTTGACCACTTTTTCGAGGTCGTTATTGGCAGTTCTTTCCTGGCAAATTTTATGAGTTCTGAAGAGGTCTTGAATGAGCGTTCAAGAAGGAAGATAAGCACATACCATCGTCCATGCGAAATAGCCGGGTGATGTTCAAAGCCCTCGACGTTCAAAGCCCTCCCCATGGTCATCTCCAATACCTGATACCATCACAACCCCTTTGCCTGACACGGTTTCGCTTGAAAGTACCCCATGACCTAAATGGCGTTGGTGCATCTCGAGCACTGGGTGCCGAGCAATTGAGTTTGTCGTTTGTGGCAGGAGTTGTGGAACACATCGGTCTGATCATGTCGAGGCCACATCAAGATTCAAAACTGCCGCTGCCTCCCGAAACCGAACTCCGACCCATTGCTCCTGGGGCCTAAACGGCCTGCCTTCATCTTTCCCCCCCTCACCCAGTTTCTTCGAGTCTTTGTCTGATATGGGATATCACGAATTTCTTGGCAAAGTCAAGGTCAAAATCGTTATGCGCCGTGGATGACGGTCTTGAAGTTGTGCCGAGACCCTCTTTCAAACCCTTGTTCAACAATTCAACGTTCAGCGTTAGATAACATATGGTGTCAGCCTTCTACAACCCATACTACACTCTTTCTCAACTTTTCGAGAATCCCAAAACCATCAACCTCTTGGCCCACTCTGGTAATCGAAAAATGGGAATTTGAAGCTGTGGACACAAGCTCAAGCAGGTGTACCTGAATCTACTGAGAAAACCGCGATTTAGACATACCTGCGACTACAATATTACTTAGGCCACCAGACGATTCAGCCAATGGGGGCCCGGCCGCCCGGGGAACAACGAATATCTATCTCAAGTTTTTCCTTTGAACGCCAACTTCCGATCCTTGGAGTTGGAATCTGTCTCACAACGCACTCAAACATTTTTACCGTTTATACTCTTCAAAACGCTTTCCAGCTCCCTCGTTGTACGTCTCTAGATCTTCCAGTCTACTTTGCTCCACGGGGCAATATCAAGTGCTGCCAAAGTCCTGCTTTATTGTGGAGCTTTTCGAATTGGGTTGCTCCGTCGGCCCGACCACAATCTTTGAAACTGAATTCAGCGAGATGCTCATTCACAGCTGCTCACCACACGATTGAATCATGTCGGAGTCAGTGAGTACATACAGCCACTACAATTCGGCAGTGGTCAGCAACTTACGCCCGAATTTCAGGGAGTTCTCATCTCAAATTCGACCTCTCCAAACCTGGTGTTTCTCTCTCAAGTCCTGTCTCTGACCCATCTATCACTGGGACAGGCAACCTGATTCCGGTCTTGAAATGGGGCACTTTCTTTTCACCTACTCCTGCCTCCCAGCACTTCTCTGCATTTTCCCTCTGCTACCTGTCCCGTCCCTCTACACCCACATGCGCTTTATTGTGATGGGTATACGTTGAACAAAATGGGTTTAACACGAGACATTACAAAAATATAATTGCCACTTGTCGTTCAGACCTGTGAGAAACCTCAAATGTCACAGTACCGATTGTACCGATATCGACTTGCAACCACATTCGACGATGTACCCCAAAAAGATGAAGATAAATACAAGTTCATGCACTCAACAAAATCAGGCCCTGTAGCAATTTATTGCGAGATACGTGTATAAGGTTGCTGGATTGCTTCAAGGTTGGACATGTATCTTCCATGTGGGTATCCTATCAACGGACTACCTACGCAGACTTCAAGAAAAGAAGGCAAAATGAGAATGAAAACGAAGGCGACGTGCAAGAGCACGAGCAAGATATATAAGTGCAAGGCTACGCAATTAGACCGAATCAAGGCATCCTTCTAGCAGTGTCCGGAGCTTGGCGCTTGGACTCTACTCAGCTAGTGAGGAACTTGCCACCAATGCCCTTCACCTTCAGAAAGATCTTCTTCAAGTGTCGCTGCAGGATGATGAGTACGGGGTACATCATACATTCAGGTTAGCGTGAGGATACGTACCCAGAGCTTGACTTCCTTCTTGCTTGCGCCACCGTTGGAAGGGGCGGCAGCTAGGTCCTGCTGAACAAAGTCAAACAAGCAACTAGAGAGCAAATGGGCAACCAACGGTTTGGGTGGTCGGACGCTGAGGGCGGCACGAAACAACATCAGTGCCTGCAAAAAGTATGTCATGGATGTGCCTACCGTGAGATAATCATTCAAGGGGTCAGAGTTGGGAACTGGGTCGTCGCGGTTCGGGGCGCGTCGAAATTCGAGGGTGATGGATGTACTTATGAGAACACCAAAGGACGGCAAGACAACATATTGGGAAAGTGGCATGGTGGGAGTAAAAATGCACGTTTCAGGTTTGGAAAGAGCGTCAAGGAGCCCGGAGGTGGTGGCCGTGGAGGAGAGAAGGGCGGGCGGTTGTTATCAAGAAAGAAAGTCCAGCTGAGAAGATGATTTATGTTGACTTTGGGGGTGAAGAGCCGCAGACAACCGAGGGAGGGGGGGTCTTTGATAAGGAAATTGAAATGGTGGCTCATACAGGGTTTGGGAGTTTGGGGGGACCAAAATAAGTTTCAAGTCAACCAACAGAAAACTCGAAAAAAGGGGTTTATCGCGCCATGCATCTTACATTTTCGGTTCCTTATCAGTCTAGACTGAAGAGGGTTGGATCGAGCTCGGGAGTGCGTCCATCGCCAATTTTTGATGATCGGCGCGCAGCCCGTCCAGGTTACCAGAACAAGAATGTCCAGGGTAGAGGAAATCTGAAATGGTGAGAAATCAAAATCCGTACAAGCGCCTAGGGGAAGACCTGGCGAGGGAACAGCCGAAAGTTGTGGACAGAGAAAGCAACCGATGTGGCCTCAACGTAAGGTTCCACAAATCTGGGTGAATCGGCGCCGCCAGATCCAACAGCCGACTCAAAGTACTTCTGGTCGTCTCGCATGTTTTCTCATGCTCAACGACTACAGAGCTTCCCTGTTGCCGATTCTGGTCAATTCCGTAACTGTCACCGGCCCCATCCTCAGCACTCTTGAACAAGTTTTCTCGGATGAGAGAACCCCAAAGTCGAATTGCCAGTACCCGTTGATGGTTGAACATTATGTCACGACTCCCTAGTCGTTCGCTGGGCAATGAAAGGTGGGAGGAGGTGATAGCAACCCCATTCAACGGAGGAGTAGGAGCCGTCCAATGGAAAAATCCTGACCTCCATCAATCTGAACATCGGCCAGCTCACGATCGCGAGCGTTAGGCATCGAAACAAAAATTCCTAGTCGTCCACGGCAGCTTGACAATAGGGAGATACTGCCCGTCCCGTTCAAACACTTTGATGGGTCCACCAACTCTGCTACAAGCGGATTGGTGTGCTCCAAGTCCCTCGTGGCCAAGCCAACACCACCTTCCATGAAGATAGGGCGCCAGGAGATTTTCTTCCATATAACGTGCGAACCCTTGCTACTTCAACCACGGAGCAGCGGGGGGCTTTCGAAGGAAAAACGCAGGGTTTTCCTGGAATCCACGCAGCCGACAGTCTCAAGCGCCAAGCGCCTGTAACACAAAGCCCATAAAGCTGTCGCTGTCCTGGCCTATTCTCCTTGGACGATCATGCACAGCGTTCAGTCAAATGTGCATCTTGGGATCGGCTCAACACACTTTAGCAGGACTCATCCCCTCACTAGGATGAAGCCAGGAACTGAGGGCCGTTGAATGTTCGCGCCTCTGGGACAAGAATCTTCGCGTGTTCTGCCACGGCAAGCGAAACTGCAGTCAAAAGAACCTAGAAAAGCACCAGCGAACGGCGGCTCCCTCAAAACTTCCTCCCAATCCCATTGCGAGCTATTGATTTTCATCGGAGTGTCATTACGTTGCACCCATAGGAAGAGGGGTGAGTTGACAGGATTTCTTTGTGTTACCGAAAACATAGACTGATGGGGGAATAGTGCGCTCCGGGATGTGAGACATGGTCCGGAAACCAAGCTCTGGCAAGAGGTCGAGGTCAGGGACCGAGACCGAGACCGGGAATGGCGGAAGACTGGTTACTTTCTTGCTTAAATTGCACAAGGAGGCAAAGAAGGCGCCGGGGTCCCGGGTGATACCACAAAATTGGCTGAGTGCCTCGTAGCACTCCGTGATGTGAAACATGGTCCGGAAACCAAGCTCTGGCAAGAGGTCGAGGAGAGAGACCGAGACCGGAAATGGTGGAAGACTGGTTACTTTCTTGCTAAAATTGCAGAAGGAGACAACGAAGGCGCTGGGGTCTCGAGTGATTCCACATAGTTGGCCGAGTGCCTCGTAACGTTGGTTATAAGCTTGACCTGGCCTATTCGACGTGGCAGTAAACCGGAAAACTTGATGTGAAGGTGCAACTTTTTGCAACCGTTCCTAGTTGGGATTCCTTTCCAGGCTGGCAGAGTATATGAGACTTGGAAAACTCGATGACTAGCGTTTAAGAAAGAGAAAACGGCACGTACATCCATGCGATCCGATATGAGCAACCTCCCAGTCCCCGATCCCTTCTCCCTGCAATTGCCCAAACTACCCTTTGCCACTCACAATCCCTAACGACTCTAAAACCTGTCGTTCCCCGATATACCGCATGAAGTAGAAAACGCGAATGAGTCTCGACTGTTGAGCGCTGCGCGATAAACTCGTCAAGCATTCATGGTTGCCAGTGATGGGAATTTGGACAAGACCACTTTGCTCCGCGCCAAAACAAAACATGGCGTACTAAAACACACATCTTTGCTGAGTGCTCCTCAATAATGATATGGTTTCCTCCGCCTCTCCATACAAGCCTTTTGATCGCAATGCTGCAGTGAGTGTGCCGGCGAAACCTGTTCAAGAGTTATAAGCGAATACTATCCTACCATTGCTGGCATCTGTTTGTAAATCTCAACGCAAGCTTCGTTGCATATGCAATGGGCTTTCGTTTTGTCTGTCTGGTGAGTTCTCTTCTTTTCTCCGTTCTTATTGATCAATTTTTCAGAACAATTACCATCATATGTTCGCTAAGTCGAACCAGCCAACATGGTGTACACGATAGTTGGAAGAGTTCCAAGACCAACAGCTATCCCAGCCATTCATGGGCTGCCTGAAACCCCTCCCAGGTCCTAGCTCAATGTTCGCCCTCCCAGCTTATTTCGTTGACATTGTTTTCAGTGCACTGTCAAGAAAACCGCCTATGTTTGGCCTATGCATCAGTCTTCTCGAGCTGCCTATTTGGCTGAAAGGGAACGTTGATGGTGGCACACACAGTAAAGCGGCATGGCCGTCATTGGGCCATCAAAGGCTTTGGACCTCGGGGGAGTTGTGAAGAAAAGTTCAGAGGAGCGTGAGGAGCGCCACAAAGCTGTTGCAAGCATGGCGTATATATTTCTACGACTTATCTTTTCTGAAGATCAGACTCGTCATCGAAAAACAATATACGCAATGCCTCCGCAATCTTGAATTTTCAGATTTTTCTTGGACAAGCGACTCTTCCGATCTTTTGCGCAATGCTTCATCAAGCCCTTCCTTGCCCCCTTGACTTCAAAGATCAAGAAGCTAAGGCCCGAAGTCCAATCTACAAGCAGAAGGATCCGAACAATTCAGTGCCTCTTAGGCGGACGGGCTGGATGGTCACCCATCTTTGGACGACTGATTTTTCTCGCCTGTTTCTTTGTCATTATCCGAATCCTTCAAGGAAATTTTCAACATTCTGACCCTCTCTCTGACCCCTTTCTGCTTCCCCTATCGTTCCCATACGCCGTTCATCCGTTGTTGTTTTTGCCCAGCTAATAAAGCAATCTTTTCATGATACGCCTCTGCAGAACCATCCAATCCAGCAAGCTACCATGCCAATAACTCAAGATGCAGCTTTTGGGATTCCTTGTCTAATCATCTGTTCCTGATGTCATTAGGGCTTGTGAACGACGGCTCACAATGTCTTTACATGCATGGAGACTGCGGGTTCTTTCAGCTCAGCTGGCACACGAAGGACAAGAGTAATGATGATTCCGGTGAGGCTGAGGTTTAAATGACAAACAAGAATTCTACAATGGAGGCGCCCATGGCGCTTTATAACTTTTGGGTCGTAATGGCGACAAGGGAAGGCGAGAAGCTGAAGATGCGCGACCAGCCATATATCCCAACAGCTACCTCAAAGTGACAACCACTGTTGAGTGAGCGCCTTCCTTCCAACCTAAGGGCGACGACAAGAATTCCAATGCTGGGCCGTAGACCGGGCATTGGATCACAACCTTCCCAGACCCTTGATTCTCTCGACTATCATCCTGAAGTGCCGCTGAAGACGGTTTGATGAGTACGATGTATTCCAAGAACAAAAACATATGAGAACCTACCCAATAGAAGCCGAACTTTTTCTCGGGAGCATCGCCGAACAATGAGGCAGAATCTTGCTCCTGCTAGAAGGAGTAGTGAGAAAGGCTGAATGCTCGTCACGAAGTCAACTCACAAGGAAATAGTCGCGCTCGTCAGTTGCAAATACTGGTGCTGGACGGAGGTCAAGAGTGCGCTGTAGGAGAGGGGAAAAAGTCAGAACATTGAAGAGGTTCCAGAGAGTTTGAGCCTACCATGAGGCCCTCCTCATCAGTGAGTGGGGCAAGCATGGGAGCGAAGAGCTCGCGCCTTTGTGTCCGTTCGTAGTCGCGCAGGATGGTTGAGCCATGGTCAGAGTTGAGTACCAAGCTGAAAGACGGAAACAGGACTTGTGACATGGTGATAGGAATGTACGTCCGTGTACGTTGGTGTGACTGACTAGGGAGAGAGCAAAGAGAGACTGAAGCGGTTGTGGTTGTGAGGTACAAGGTCTGATGAGACGGAAGGAAGGCATGCAATGAGTCTTATCGGGAGGTTCTTTTTGGGTTGGAGGGTCTGGATACCCATCAACCCAAAAGAGACCGAAAAAAAAAACTGGATGGGTGCACTGGTGAACCTGAACACGCTTTAAAGTATTGACCGCACCGACCGCCTGGCTCGTCACTACTGGATCTATGATAGGCAACGATGATGAGAAAGAGATCGAGGATGAGGGAGAAGCCGAAAGCGATTGGGACAGCCTGCGCTGCAAGAGTGGAGAAAGCGCGAGTGTGAGAGACCGATCAGTCAACGTTTGGCAGGAAGGCAACCGACAGCTGACCATACGTTTACCATGACCGTATGGCGCTAATGCGTGGACCGGCTCCTTCCGACAGATTTTCCAAGAGTTGTGCAAGCCGGTAAGCGTCGGCGACGTTGACTTACTGCATGATCAAACTGCGCAAAGGGAAATCTGACAATCCTGCAGGACTTGAGCTTGAAGGTGACGTTCCCCAGAGAAAGGAAGGAACCTGCCAAAGTTCTCCATGGGAAAATCAAAAGTCCCCCACCAGGACCAGTGGAACGAGATGATGTCCGAACCATTGGAAGCCCTCACACGAGTCCCTCCAGAAAGGAAAATGTCAAGCGTATCCGCGTCGACGTCGCCCTTCCGACGACACAAAACTATAGCTCCAGCTGCCTTTGTGGGGTGATGATCTCCAACATGCTTTCTTGAATGACATCCTCTGCAGAGGGAAAATACGGCGAGACTCAACGTATGGATATCGCGGAACTGCTGGAGGTGATGTTCATGAGGACATCACCTTCCGACGAAGAAAGTTCTCCAAAGCCGGCCTGGATGTTTCTTTGAACTTGTCAGGATACGAGGCCCTCATCAAAGGTGATCCAACTTCGAGGCCGTAGTATGGAGACCACATCCTCCGAGGCAGGCGTGCCGCACAATTGGCTATTGATCCACATGAATGCACGGCCTGTTTACATGATAATCACCATCCCGTGCGGGAAAATATCATTGGACCATTCACGAAAGGCCATGCCAAGTAACCAGCTGAAAAGCGAATCCCAGTGCTCAGGCCCGATGGAAACCACGCCGGACCAGCTTAACTGGGCTGACACAGGTCCAAAAGTTCTTGGATGGGCCAACAGGCAAGGCGGAAGGAAAGTCCTAGCCCTTCGACATTGCGATGGCACGTCACCAGCTGGTAAGTGAGCACTTAGCGTTAATCTCTTGACGGCTAATGATACTTCCGTAGTCGAGATGGATTGGTGGGAGCAATATGGACGATAAGGACAACGGATGTGGCTTTCTTCCTGATAACGTGGGCCGATGCAGAAGCTGACATCGGGAAGGCAAACAGAAGTCTCGCAATGCGAAGAGAAATTTTTGTAGATGACGACAAGATCCTGCATCGAGGCTTTTCAACTGATGGCTCAACACGGTAACAAAAAGGACGACGGGAACACATACCTCGTTGCCTTATTCCCATTGGCATATACTCTCAAACAATGATTTGTCGATACTCTTGTCTTCGCAGCTGATATGGAATACACTTTGAGCAACGTCTTCTATGCGTTGACTGTAGACCGAAACAGATTTTTGATGTGTTCCTCCCTGGTTCCTCCAAGACTTCCATTCTCGAGGCTCCCGAAACTAGGGATGATCTGAGCCAACATCGAATATATGAACTCGATGATTGATGCATCGATGAACGTCAATCAAGTTGAATAGCAGTGACCGTTGGGGTGACGAGGAATATTGTTTGGCTATCATCAGTACCACAAGCATGCTAACAGCCACGACGGTCAGCTCAGCCTCTCCACTCCCCCACCCTTCGTTGTGAGTGGAAGAACAATATCTGCTTTTTTCACTCTCCTAAAAGCAAGGGATTCAAGCGGCGTTTTATTTATGCACCATCGACGGTCGTCTTGTTCATTCTGTGTCAACACTATCGAGTGGCACGATCTGGCGACCGTCATGACATTCACGAAAGCGTGTCTGGGGTACCTATCCACCACCAATTGAACTGCGCTGGCCGATGCTATGAAGACAGAATTGTTAGCAAACCACCCAGTTCCAATAATTTCTCAGTTCTTCAGGCTGAGGGCTACATGACCGGGGCCCCGGGCTCTGATACCTGCCGAAAGACGGCCAGCTACTTCCAGATTTCTGAGGTCGGTCTCCGAGACAGCCCCTCAAATATCCGCCAATTGAATCGACCTCGTTTCAATGCCATCTTACTACGGCATTGACTGTCGAATGACTGCCAGCGACCTCGTGGTAAGGCGCTTCATCGAATGTCAAGAAGCCTACGCAAGTCTCCGTCTTCCTACTCGAGCGGCTGGCTGTCCGTTGCCTGCGGAGTTGACGGCTCCTCAGGACTCTTTTCGTGCTTCCCCAGTTTCCCTAAGAGCCAAGAAACCCTTCCAGCATTGTGCACCGTCGCGAGTTTTACCTGACTCGGACTTTCTTCGTTTTTCATGGCCTTTCAATTTGCTAGGAGACTCGGAAGACGTGTTATGTTAGTCTCCTCAGCCCCCCTCCTGCTCGCAATTTTTTTTCGTTTCTCTCCTCCCTCCGGGTCCCACTCCAATCATACATTCATGAATCAGTCTTCGTCGCCTTTGACCGGCTTTAATTACTTCCTTACTCCCACCCCACGACGTCGTCCTGTGACTGCCGCTTGTTGGAACCTCACTTCCGGGGTTCCTGTGCGTCAACATGCCATCCATGTAACTGTGATCAGTAGCCTCTGTTATGGCCATTTGTGCATCGATTAGCATGAAGTAACGTTGATTCTTCTCTCGTAGAGCATCTACCGCTCGTACTTGAAAAATCAAAAGCGATACTTTCAACAGTTTGTTCATGATATTCTCTTTATAGGTTAGTACAGATAACATTCAAAATATGCTACAAGAATGTGAATGGCCATATCCGATATGTAATGTGATGAAAAAATGCCAGCAAGGACCAAGATGTGATGAACAGCCCACTGTAGACCGGTAACCACCGCCTACGAAGCCCTGCAAGTCATGAAAGAGTAGGCCTTGAGATCCATAAGTGATTACGAACCTAATCTCGTCGGACGGTAGTCAGGAACCGTTGGGCCACAAGCAGTATCACGACGATCTCAAAGAGCAGTGCCTTCACGCGAGACTGCACACGACGTTAGCTTGTGCGTAGACATTGAAAGACGAGATTTCGACACACCCAAAGTGAACGATCTACCACAAGAGCTGGTTCTTCGCTTGAGTCTCCCGATTCTCCACTACTACTACTAGTACTGTGAGCATCCTGAAGAGGTGGCGTAGGTGACATGCGACCGCCCTGCGTGAAGATCAACGCAACGAAAAGGCTGAAGGCTGGAACAAGAGCTCACTATATAATCACATTTGTAGGTCAGAAACCCCAAAGTCTGATGGCGGTCCACAGCCTGCTGCAGATTGACAAAAAAGAGGCTGTGAGGTCGGCCCAACATCACGTCACGGTAACGTACTGTTGGAGAGTCGAAGGACCCATAGATTGGCAGCTGAAGGTCACGGTTTCGTGCATTTTGATAGTCTCTCAACACGGTGGAAACAGCGCCCGAGTCAACAACAACGGAAAATGAGGGCCGAGTGACTTGTGGGATGGGCATAGCAATGAAGATGTAAGAATGGGGCTGGGAGGACCGCGAGAGAGCGAGGTCAGGAAAAAGGAACGGTCAGAGCGATGGTGTTAACGGTGGGCACAAAAGTGGGCCTGGATAACAGAAAAAAAGGGTCTAAATCGCGTTTATGGCACGCTTGCTTTGGATACGGCATTGTCCAAAAGTGAATAGGCCAATCACTGGCTAGTGATCAGCGGAAACTTTGAACTCGATCGATGGACAATGCGAGCACGGAGATCGACATGAGGACGGGTATTGTGGAGTCGTGATTTACTTGATTTGTAGCCGTACTTCGAAAATGAGAGGGCTGACGCGGGGAGGCAGATGGAATGTTGTGGGAAGATCAAACAAGTGCTGTTGAAGTCACAATTCCGCGTAAAGGCTGGTGTGATACAAATCGGCGGGGCGCGGCGTGAACAACGATAGTTTTGGGATATTTGGAAAGTTGTGGTCTCTGGGAACCCGATGACCCTCAGGAGGTGGCAATATTTTTTTGGGGGAGGCGCTTAACGACATGTTTAAGCCACAGATCCTCGGCCAATGAGTTAAATCATTCTAAATGGATATCGACGACAGACGCGACTCCGTGTTCATCTGGCTAAGAGTCGGGAACAGGCAATGGAAACGAGAAACGCAGTTGAGTGGGTTACAGACACCCAACGTTCGATGACAGCTCTGCCTGTACAACAATTACTTTAACGAGACAAGAGATGGTACGCCAAAGCCTTGCTGTTCACCAACTTCAGTGCAATTCTCAACGTTCGACGGAGATAACAAAAGATCACCTGCGATCAAGGCCTGACGTACAACGCAACTATTCGAAGCAAATTCAAGGGACGTCGGGACCTGGGCGCTGAGATTGAACGTTGAGTTTCAGCAATGGTAGCTTGGAGCTGCACTATGACCAACTTACACCGAATCAAACTTTCGACATCCACCTGGTCGTGCTAGAGCCAATCGTATTACCTCTCAGGCATGTCGGTCCTGTTTGACAGCTCCTACTTCGACCCCAGAAAAGGGTAACCACAACACTTGCAACCGACGTGCAAACTGGACGACGGGCCGATTCGATCCTACCATCGTATTGGGAAGGAAATTTTCCTCGTGGATTGACGATGGAATACGAAAATCTTGGGGTGAGATTCGTAGTGGGCACGATGGTGTAGGTAATTCACCAATTCTGATCGAACTTGAATGACAAGACCATGCCATCATCAGCGATATCCTAGCCTTCTCTGAGGTGATTATGATGTGCAGTAGGTCCTCCTTTGTTTTCATGTGCATCATATCTTGACTGGATGCCAGTGGCTCCCCAAGCCGTCGCTTCCAACCGTAAAAGTTTTCGTGCGAGAGTGTTCTTGCCTTCCCGCAGACTACGACATTATGGGGATGCGACCGTACGAAGAAGGTCAACCGCCAGATATCGAGTTGGATGCGCTGTTAGCCGTTGACGAGGACGAGGCTCATAAGGGGGGCGGGACGTGGCGCTTGTTAGAGGGCTGGTTGCCATTCGACCGACTGTCGCTATTGCCGCTGCTGCTATCCTCTCCGCCATCCTCAAGCTCTTCGGGGCGTATTTCCATAACCCGTTGGGAGACTCACACCCTGGCTAGTAACCAGCGGGGGAAGCCTGACAAAAATCTGACAAAGCCAAAGATGTTGGCTCAAGTGTTCATGAAAACGCTTCTGCTTTTGATTTCGTGGTCCTTGCGCACTTCGACATCCATGGAGATTCTGTCGCGACAAAAACAAAGCCTACAAATCTTCCAGGCTCATCACACCTCAAGCTCAAGTGTTTCCCCTTCAACCGTTGCTTTTCACACCTGCCCTTGTTTCGTGGTCCTCGCGCGCATTAACCTCCATAGAGATTCGAAGATTCTGTGGCGACAATATCCACGCTTCCATGCCTTCAGAATCCACACACCTCACGCGTTTCACTTTCAACGAGGATTGTCCACAAGCGTGACAGGTCACAGTGACCGTCACGGAAAAAGTTGGGTGCGTCAAATCGACTCCAATTTTTTTGTCTATGACTGAAAACGATGTTGTTCAACAGAAAATCCGCTTATTCACCGAAAGGCGGTGTGGTGTGTGACAAATGTCAGGAGAAGCAATGCCCCAACTGGGTATCGGCCAATGTCGATGATGAATGTGCAAATTGCGCAAGATGGTCGATTTTTTGGATTGACATGTCCCTGAGTTCGAAATAAAGACCTGAAGAGGGTTTAAATGTTGGCGAGGCCAAGGAGGAAAGATAGTGGCAGCATTCTGACCTGTCGGCCATTCAGCGATGAATGAGGCGATAAGAGTCCTCAGGATGGCGTCGAAGCCAACAGAGATGAAAACCACGGTTAGGCCTGACTCAAACGGTTGCGAGGGCTACGGTAGTACCGTCGTGTCGAAGAAATCTTGGTCCTTCAGAATCTATGTGCCATAGAGCTTCAGCATTGCTCGAAAATAAAAAAGCCAGGTGGTGTGTCGCCGAGATTCCCATACCTTTGGATGACTCGGTCGCACTCAGCCCAAACCCAGCCCTGCCTACACTCGCGCGCCATGAGAGAGCCGCTTCGTGGGATATTCGACCCAAAAGATTCAAGTCATCTCGAAAACCTTAGAAGCTACAAGTTGGAGCTTAAAACACGAAGCTTGAGATATTCAATGAACGATCAGTCTCCCTCCGTTCTAGAGAGTGTGTTGAACACTCACAGTGAAGTTGTGAGCTGTGCAGTCCCTGTCTTCCCTAAGCCTGGTGGCCGCCCCTTGACCGTGTGGCCAACTCGATAAATGTGCCAAGGCATTATTTGCTAGAATTCAAAACTTGTTTCACGATTGCTCAACAGTGATTTTTTCATCGGTCCAGCTTTGTGTTTCAAGTTCGAGTGTTGCTGTGGCAGGCGCCAGTGCTGGTCCAGGGCCCTGGCCTCGCTGGGGCGCAAAGACAGGAAGCATTTTGTTTGGCTGTCCCTTTCAAGAAGCACAGTCGTCACATGCACCAGGCTTTCACAAGTACTGACTTCTTCCATCTTCCTGGACCCCTCTCCTGGTCCTCTCCTATTAAATTATCTAGGAGGAAGTTTCCTTTCGGGGCTTGCTTCCAACCGCTATATGTAAGTTCCTATAACTGATGATGGGAAAGTATCCTCTAATTTACACAATTATCTGCACCAGATTGCCCTCTCAATGTCTGTGCGTTTACTAGAATCTTTGTCTGAGTCCGGAGGTGGTGAAGACATCCTTACCACGAAGAAGAAGCCTCGAAAACTCGACCACATGATGATTAAGCTCAGGCTGAATATGGGGCTCTCCACAGCGAAACGCCACCTGTTTCAAACCTTCCTACCGAAATCCTCTGCCAAATCTTCGAAGACACCCAAGATGCTTCGCGGATCCATATGGCTTCCAAACACCCTTTCGTGGAAGTCATCATCTCACACGTTTGCAGAGGATGGCGTTCCGTCGTGTTGTCCTTCCCACCACTGTGGTCAACATTTCGATATGATAGTATTTGCGACCGGGCACATCGTCAGCTGGGAAATCGGCTAGATGTATACCTGGACAGGTCGAGCTCACACCTACTCGACCTCTACTTCCATGGGTGTGCACTGGTATGTGTGAGTTGGAAGCTGGAAGATTTGATCCGCGTGGGCGAAAGATAATTGGGACTCCGGAGGCACGCTTTGATATCTAGTACAACTTTCCTCGAAACCATACAAAAGAGCCTGCCATGCGAAGCTGGTCAACGTCTCGAAAGACTGAAAGGGTTCGACTCAACTACCGTCAAAACGAAGGCCGGTTAACGTTCTCAGAAAGAATATCCGAATCGTTGGACTGGAGATGTCGGCTGGTGGAATTTGATTCGTGGTACGTTACGGTTCCACCCTTACTTTTCTGTTTCTTCGTGCATCAATTCGCTTTTCCCTCGAGGGCTGCATCTCGCGACTCGTCTTACCTCGTGTCAAACACTTATGAATCTTCATTTCACAGATAGTGACGTGAACGGCGTACCGACACGAAGGTGGCATCATCAGCAAATCATCAGCACCCACCACATCGTTCAAAAGGCCTCAGTGCGCACGAGTTTAACGCTGCAGCTCGCGCTCCCCCTTGCATGGATGTGGACGCGGATACGGAACTGCAGGTGAACTTGGTCAGTGGTCACGGACACGATATCTTGCGTGGTCAAGAGTCCACCTCTGCACGACTGTTTCTGATCTTGCGCCCTGTCTGCTGCCTGCGACGTCAATTTCGTCACTTTCACTGTGACACCCCCAAGACGCTTCGCTCCAGTGTAGCACCGAATCCCCCCCCCCGATCCCAAGCTGCGCCGTGACGCCTTTTATCTAACCCCATCTTCGCCTACACCATTGTCTTATCCTCCAAAATCCCCGGGAACCGAGACTGGATATCAGATTTCCTGTCGCCCTTGGTTTCAGAATCACGTACGCCTCGAGTCCCAGCCTCAGCCAACTTTGATAGCACGAAGATCAATTATGAGATGGGTTGGGTACACCTCGATTGTGTGCTGGTCAATTGGGTCCTGTAGCCGATTTATGACATCTCAATACTGCGTGAGTGCCTTTTGTTATTCTTCATTCCCCCTTTCGATTGCTTCCTGCTCTCCACGTTTCCTCTTCTTGTCTTCCTCTTCCCTCTTCTCCCCTCGCCGTAGTCATGTCCTAACTCTTACTCTCTAAAGACAAAACATAATGCCTCTGATTATGCCCACCATCACTTTCACGGATCACATTGCTGCGTTGTCGTCTCGTCCTCCAGCGGCGTCCACGGCCCTTCTGGTTGTGCGCGCGACCCAAACGGCTGTTATCATGTGTCTGCAATCAATCGAATGAGTCGGGATTTTCGAATGTGGAGAGGATGTTGGTTACGTCTGGGGGCCGGGGGTTGGAGACGACGGAGAGTTGGCGCCTCCACCTGTAAGGCTCCAGGACCTATGACTTTGGCACAACGTGACTACTTCAAACCGCGCTTCTTTCAAGACAAGGACTGATGGCTTCCGTTTTGTTTCCTAGAACAGAGTGCAGAAGGAGCAGAATGTGTTGTGCTGGAGTATTTGCCTGGAGAAAACGCTTGCGAATGAATGGATAGTGGTCTCGAGGTACGTTCCTTTCCTCCATTATCTTTTCACTTTTCTTTTATGTGTTCGACCTTCATTTTGACGTTTTGCGTCTCATTGTTATCCTCCCCTCCATGTCTTCTTCCCAGGTCCTTACAAGGCAAATGCTAACGATCATACAAATCACAGATAACTCACTACAGCATCTAGACGGATACCATGATGGTGTCACTCTCGCTGCTCTCCTCGTGGAAAGAACGGACTCCTCTTCGCAGGCAAGGCTGGCGAAACTTCGGTTACCACCCTTGACCAACTGTCAAGCCTTTGTTGATCAACATGATGGGTGGCTAATTATCTCCATGTTTTGGCTCTCCTGTACCAGAAAATTTTAAACCAAGTAACTTTTCAAAGACTGGGGCCTGTAATGATGTGAGTGAGATGTAAAAAATAAGGCCAAAAAATGGTCCATACCAGCTGCACGACGTTCATGATGGAATAGTTGGAAGTGTAGGAAAGATAACAATTATCTAATCCATACCGGAATCACTTTTCCATTCTACCACTGTTACCACGACGATGACTCTTTGCCAGTGTCATAAGCTCCATGTATAGTGAGGCTGGGCATATGGAACGTATCTGTGCTATGCATTAATTTGTGAGGCTGGATACCCGACAGCAGTGGATCATGGTGAGCAACGCGCTTTGCCAGAGACTCCACTGTACTCTACTCTTCTGGCGTCGTTTCAATAAGCTTGTTCACTCACTTTATGCTTCAAGTTGTCATGTTTAAGTACGTGGTGGTCTGGTACGTAAGTTAGACTTATCATTGTGGAAGAGGCCAACATCTATCCATTAGCCCGGCTTGGGTGAAAAGCGACCCTGTGTCCTTGTAGGTATGCCCACATTTTCTTTCCGCTCACACTGGTACTCACTACATTGCAGGCGACCAAATTCTCGTCCAAAAGTGCACCTGAAGGACATTGGTACCAAGGCCGAGTGCATGTCGTGCGTCAAGCAGAAGTCGGATTCCGCTTCCATGAATCTTTCGGATAAGCAAGCGCTACCCAGCCGTTCGACGTCCGGTTCAAGTTGAATTGAGTTTCTGTAAAACGGCTGCATCAGGCGATGGATACGGTCTTTACCCAAGACCGGGTTTTGTTCCCCTTGGCCGCCCACCTGCCAAGTTCTAATACGATGTGGATCCAGTCGATCAGGGTGTACAATTAGTTCATCCGGAGTAACCAGCTGCAGGTGCTGGCTGTCAAGTGCATTGTGAACCAAAATCCTGGTTTGCCATCCTTCGTTGTTTTTGGACCGTATGTCCCATTCTTCCCTTCATTCGATCACTGTCTTTGTTTACTTAACTCTTTGCTACAGACCTGGTACCGGCAAAACCTTCACAATCGTTGAAGCAATCTTCCAACTCCTTCGTACCAATTCCCAAGCCCGGATCCTCGCTTGCGCACCAAGCAAATCTGCGGCCGACTTGATAGCTGAACGCCTTTCTGCCGGCTTCAATCCGGACCAACTTTTCCGACTCGTAGTGCCCTCCCGCTTTTTGAACGGGGTCTCTGATGTAGTCAAGCTATACACGTACACCAAACTGGACGGACACTTCTCCGAGGAACGTGAGGGAGAGGAAGGCGAAGGATACGGAGAGGAGGTCTGCTAGATCTGCGTTTATGGCTGCTGCCAAGGACAAACAAAATGGACAACCCATTGCTGGCACATCGGCGTCCGCATCGGCGTCCGCATCGGCGTCGGTTGGGCCACTGCGTGTTCCAGAGTTCGAGTCCGACTTGGAGAGTTTGTCGGATTTGGATGACGACGAAGGCGATCACCCTCCCTCGAATCCTGCTACACCGATCCCATCTGCATCTGCGTCGACATCTAAAGTACCCAACTTCCAATTGCCACCATCACGTACACCTCGCAGTCATCTCATGCTCCAAGGATGGTCTCAGTTTTACCCCAGCATGTTCGCCTCTCCCGACAACATTTTTCGCACCAAGAACACTGTCCCTTCCACTCCCTCTGGCGCCATCGTCCCCTGCAACCGCAGCAGCACCGCCCATATTACTCAGGAACTATAGCAGGCCAAACGGGAGTTGTTACGTTGAATCATTGACAACGCCGCTTCGAGATGAGGAGGACAACAACAAGACCATTTGCAGCATGCATGACGTATCACAAAACACCGCCCTCTTTGAGCTCATGGATTTCGAGCTGGATCTATCTTGCCTCTCTACACTGCCTTCACCAGCTGCGTCTATCTCTGATATACTGCCAGACACGCCCTCTCCTCCATCACCCGAACCTCAGCTTTCTCGAGCCCCGGCCATCGACCCAGCAAACTGCGGCACTTGATCAGTTGAAGATCCCCAACTACAAACCCAAATCCAAACTCAGCCTTCTGCTCCGTCGCCATCACCCATCTCCCCACCACCAAGCACTGTTACCCATCTCACTACCTACGCTACCGATGTCTGTGTCCGTTAGGGCTGTACAGAGGGTACCGTCGCCTCTGTTGAGAATTATCAGCAGCATGGGGAGGGGGTGTTTTACGACGCAGACAGATCAGGCGCAACCACCGCAGATGGGGCAGGAACAGTTGATGGCCCAGCAGCGGGAGTTGTAGGGGTATCAACAGGAGTATCATCAATAACAGCAGCAGGGGCAAGAATACCAGCAGCGGCAGATGCCAATGCCAGAGGTCCAGTTGCATAAGCTCCCACAAGTCCAGCTGCACGAGCTCTCGCAGGTTCAGCTCCACGAACACCAGCAAATCTAGCTGCACGAACACCCACCAGTTCAGCTGCACGAACATCCTCAACTCCAGCTGCACAAACACCCACAAGTTCAGCTGCAGGAATACCAGCACCAGCATCAGAGATATGCAGCTGCGCCGGCACCGATGTGGTGGGAAGAACAGCCCAAGATTGAGAAAGAGTGGGGGGGCTTGGAAGATTACTTGTAAGATGTGTGTTTGGGAGGTGTACGTGTCCTTTTTTTTTTCGATATTGAGAGGTGGTTTTTTTGGTTTGACTTCTTTTTATTTGTTGCTCTACTTTTTTTCCTTTTAATTCGTTAGAAGATTTGGTTTTTTAGCAAAAGAAAAATATCTGTGTGGGCTCTTTTATTTTTCTCATATCGCCTTACTTCTTTTCCTTTTCTTGTGCTTCAAAAACGAAGATACTGATGCCTGTTCATTTCACAGACGTCGTCGCTACACACCCGACGCCATCCACCTTCTTGTAGCGCAGGAAGCACACGACTATTTTTCGGTGCGCGGATTCCCCCCAGGGTATCAGCGCAGACAGATTGGCGTGTTCATGGACAAAGAGTATCATAGTTGGGAGTTGGTGAACGATGAGGAGGATGAGGATGATGAGAGTTATGAGGATGAAAGCTACGAGGATGGTGAAGGGATGGTGAGGAACACGATAACTACAAGGAAAAGGAGGGGAATCTTGGAAACAACTCAAAATCCCAGCTCAGAATCATCTTCTCCTGCACCTTCCTCGCCTTCCTCTCCAGCGGCATTTCAACCAGAAGACGTGGACTGCTTGGATGAAGATCCAGAGGGCGAAGTGGAGGTCGACCTTGAAGCGCTCTCCGATCCCTCGTTCCCAAGCGTAACGATCTTCTCGAACGAATCACGTTCTTGCTAAGCCACATCCCTCTTCTAAGGATGATGGAAGTCATGCCCGCCACACTGCAAGTCATCGACTGCATGATTGAATTGCTCAAACCAGCCGCGGTGCTCATAACTTCATACCGAAGGCAGAGCACCATTGCCCGCCGACTCAGCATCACCAATAGGGACAAGTTTACCACGACCGCTCATAGTGTCAACACTTGCTGCCAGGATCTGATGCTCAGCCTTCAAATTCACCAATCTAGCAAAATCGAAATCCTTACTCGCGACATTCCGATTGACGACGATGATAAGGCGGCGGAGACGTTCGTCGCCAAACATGAGTCTTGAGGCAATACAGCACAATAGGGAGCTCGTCAAAGAGCTCACACAGCAGCAGCACCTCGTCATGGACGACACCGTGATGGACCAGCTAAACGCCAACGTCACAAACACCATCCAGCAAAATCAGGCCCGTCTGGAAGTCATTTTGAAAGATAGCGTTAACCGAACGTTAACTCCGCCATTCTTCATGGTTTCAAGGGTTTGGTTGCAGAGTTAAATGCGAGCAGTGTTTCCACTGTGTGCTCTTCCCGCGTGCTAGAGCTATCACAGGATATGTTGACACTGTTGACGAATGGGCATCTGTTGAGGACACCAACCTTGAGGATGACGGAGTGACGAAGGCATCTGTTGGCCAGCTTCTGTGCTGGGTATCTTGTGGTGAACGCCTGGATGAAGAAACCGTCCTTATTAGCGTTGGTACAATCTGGTAGTACACTGAACCATACTACTTCAACACGTTCACAAGATCTGTTCGTCTTCGTTGGCAGACTCTCATCTTTTGAACCTCAACCAGCGAGAATGAGTTCGCCATGGCCGAATGGATTCTATCTGTTTCCGGTAAGGTCACAGGTGTCAGGCTTACAGCCAAGTCCACTATGTCGACGAACCCATACGTCCGCATTTGTCCCATTGACATGGCCAAGGGAACAAAGTCAGGCGACATCATAACTCTTTCCGAGGGAGTGTCAGGCTGGCAAAGGCTTGTCATTATTCAAATTACATATCACACCAGCATCGTCAATATATTTCATGCATTATGCAGTATGAAGGTATGGTATTCTGGACTCATGCTTAGAATAAAAAGTAACTGGAAATGTCGTGACACAAAAACTCTCTAGTACCCATCTAAAGAGTTTTGAGTCTGACATTATAAAGGAGATTATTGAAAACTTACCATCTCCGCAGTAAGCGTAGTGAATTGATAATATAGGTCACCGTAAAAATGCCAGCTAAAAACTCGACTGCAGTAGCAACATTGAATATTAGGACATGATTGTAAAATGAAAAAAAGAAATGCGTACCGTTCTGAATGGTTCTACGGACCAACTTCAGCTCAGTTTCAACGGCCTCCATGCTCTTCTCCAACGCACCAACCCGAGTTTCTAATGTGCCAACCCGAGTTTCGACGACCTGAATACTGCTTTCCAGCCTGGTGACCCTAGTACCTGCTAGTAAACATGAAATAAGTCTATGTCGCAGGTCATGTGGTGACAGGACTTACTGGGGACAGGTGTGATTGAGCCATCATCCTCTGATGGGCTTGGCAGGACCAATCAAAATCTGTCTGATTAGATCAAGGGATGTGAATAGGCACTCACGATAAATTGCGAGATGGTGATGATGACATTCTTCTAGGAGTAGAGGTTAGCTAGGAAGGAAGGCGAGAAGATATATAGAACGAACTTGCTTAGGGATTGGGGATGGTGGTAGTGAGAGGGAAGGAGATGGCGAGGAAGCGCAGAAAAGGGAACAACCTCTTTTTCTATAGAGGGAGGCGGACGTTTAGCCATCGTTGTACAGAGGCTGACAGTGATAGTCGATTCGAACATCGCTTTCCGCGCGCTGAGTTTGGCTCTCCCAAGACAGTGATGAGTCAGATGACTAATCAGCCCCCACAATGGCACTGGAGACGAATACCGCGAGGGTGCGTTCTCGATGCCCTCATGTGCTGAGACGCGCCGCTTGAGGAAGATTATCAAGGAGACACAGAGGCCTCAACGCTTCATGGCTCCTCGTTTTTCCCCTTCTTTTCACATGCTCTCACTCAAACGCTAACCATTTACACTTGATTTACACCCACAGAAATCGATTGACCTGAACGTTGATACGGACGTACCACCACTAATGTGGAACAACCTTATCTTTTGTGTTTTGCTTGTATGCACCCACAAGCCAGGACCGAGCACCCACAGCTGGGAATGGGTTCCCTAGTGTCCGCCTTAAGGAGGGCCAGCTAACGCTACATGTCCACGTACTCGCATGCCGACACCCCACTCACCGATTGGGCTCTTGCCTGTCGGTGTAGAAGCCAATGTGCGAACTTCAATGCAGCGTTTCGTCGTTCCTCCTCGTAGATCAGCGCGAATGAGTCGCTCGGGTAGGATATCCAGGACCGTTCGGGCAGGATATGGATGTGGACGCGGGGCGCTGAAGACGATACCCTCCATCCCAAGTCCGCTTGAAAGTCTACCCTTTCCGCGCAATCGTTCCTGGACCCAAGACAAGCACCCGGAGACGCATGGCCACCTCTTCCTCCCATTTTGACCCCAACCTGGAAGCTTTCCCATCGCCTTCCTTACTTTCTCTTCCACCTTCGACCTCCCCTTCCCTCGCCCTCCCACTCTCTGACTGATTTCCTCCCTCCCCTTCCCTCCCGTCTTTCTCCTCCCCTTTTCACGCCAAGTACTTACCCTCAACCCAAACATAATTTGCACGGTCTGCGTAGCATTGTTCCACCTCATTCCAAAGGACTCCCAGAGATGAGCTACTATATCCTTTCTGATGCTGGACATTGGAGTCAGGATGTCTGGTGCGGCAGCTCTTCGTCCCTCTTCGAACAAACACAACATGTCTTCTCCCATGTTTCATGTGCATGAAGATCGGCGACCGGTGTGGTGCGGCTAGCTATAGGAGGGGTTCTTCTCAGAAGGATGTTGAAGGGGGTTAATGCACCATTGCCAGCCAGCATACACGAAGGACAAACTCGCTATTCCTCTCAACATCAAGCCCAAGACTGCATGTTAGGAATAGACCTCGACATCCCCCTCCACCTCCACCTTTGTATCCGAGACACACCGCTGGCCAAAAGTCACAGCCGCCGGTGGTTCCGTTCTAAGAACGGATCTTTCTCCCGACACATTTGTTCTTGGAGGAGATGGGGGTACGAGGGACAAGATGTTAAGCTATTATTGATTGGTGAACTTGGATATGCTTGGCGAGCAGCAGCAGGTTCAAGTCCAACAAATTTGACCAGAATTTGCGCGATTTTTTTTCTTCAATCGCATCGTTGCCGCAGCCACATCATGAGATTTGGGATATGAGGTTGAGGGATGAATACTGCAGCTCTGAGCTCCCAACGTCTGTTCTTCCCATTCCTCTTTTTTTCCCCTATGCCCCTTCCCCATCTTCCATCTTTCTTCTCCTTTCGACGCTCCTACTCAGCCTCCTTTCATGCCAAGTACTTACCCCAGCAGCAATCAAACCTGCCCTCTTACACCTCATGCTTCCGCAAGATGGGATGCCACGCGCTGTTGGTGTTGAATGTTCGCCTTGAGATACACTGCAGCGTCGTCGTTCCCTAGTCAAGCAACATGACCAAGTACAGTTCATGCGCTTCCGCCCTTGTCGGAGGATTGTATCACGGTTGAATAATAAGGCTTTGTGGGTTTGGGTGCCTCGTTATCCTCTGACAGCGGGCACGAGAAAAAATGATCTTGTAACACTGACACCACAAAGACCAAATCCCACAATGCCAAGCCCAAGAAGTCACTATTCTGCCTTGATCCCGCCCCTTATCTTGCGTCGCAACTGAGGGGGTTGAGACTCCAGCTTCGAAGCAAGGCAATTTGAAGAATTGTGGTGTTTGGTCATATACGTGATCTATCTTTCTGACTTATTGACGGGCACCTGAGCTTCACCAGCGTTTTGCAAGCTGGGATCCCCAATTGTGATTTTCACCACAATTGGTTTATGCAGCTCGTGTGCATGGTTCCGTCAGTCTATCGGTATTTGCACTTCAAGACGCAATGAGGTTCGACTCCCAGACAGTTGGTCCGCTCGTAAAGATTACCTGAGTTTTTTTCCCACTTTCTTGTTGTTCATTGGCCGGACACCCTTTTCAAGTGTTGCCGTGGAGAACTGAAGCGAATCGAAGTGGTGAATTCTACTGACTTCGTTCAATTCCACTTTGGTCGTCAATCAACCTCTGTTTCAATCATGCGATCTTGGAATGACTGTCAGTGTCGCTACCTTCGAGTGGTTAGGTGTTTGGTCAGGCGCCTCATCGAACGTCAAGAAGCCTATGCTGGGTTTCTCGACTGTTAAGGAGACTGGGGAAGCACGGATGGTTCGTTGACCGCGAGCTTGTGGATCGGGTACGTTCTTCTTTGTTATCTACGTCTTCTTTTCTTTGATACAACCTCTACCCTAGATCTATCACGCGTGTCGCATCGCCGGACTACGTCCCAAACATTCGACCCGGGCGTAAACCCTCCCACATCTTCACAGCCTCGACGACTTCGTCGACATTCGAAAAAAGCGTAAACCCTCCCACATCCACTTCCATGCCTGCAAGAGTTCACATCTTTCAAACAGGCCAACATCGACGCCCAGCTCGTTTGTCTTGTCTCCCACGTCACGATCGCTCTGGGCCGTCTAAAAGGTTGGTCAGCGTCGTTCCGCATTTGAACTACTCACTCACCAGTTTGTTGTAGGGTCTACCTCGTTTAGACTTACAAAATGTAAGTCTTCGTACACCAATCCCCATAGAAGCTAACTGACCTCTTGAAACTTGAAGCTTAAGGTGTTAACAGAGGTGTGACTGACCTCTGACCACTACCACCACCTCAATAGCCACCGCCGACGTCGTCACCCATTTGACTGGGGTCGCTGTACACGAAACCTTCAGCGTTGGCGCTTCCGACAAGTACGACGGACGTATGTGACTCAAGGCTGGTAAGTCATTCACAACGGATTGGGAAGTTTCGCGAACGCTTACCGTGACAGTCAATGTCAAAAGACCCGTCCGCATTCCCATCATCATGGTCCAATCCTCTCCGTGCGCAACTGCTCGAACCTCCGCACCTCCACTTCAGCCCTCTCAATAACCTTCCCAAGCTTCTTCTCTTGCACCTGCGGCCGCTGCTTCAAATGTCCATGACAGTCGTCGTCCTTCCTTGACGACAACGGACCACCACTACGAGGGACGAGCATGCCACCACGACAACGGACGACCACAACCATGGCCACAACCACAACCATGGCCACAACCACAACCATGGCCACAACCACAACCATGGCCACAACCACAACCATGGCCACAACCACGGACAAGGATGTACCACCACGAGGGACGAGGGAAGAGGGAGACAGCAACGTGGCAAGCAAACGACAAACAACGTTGTTTGTCGTTTATCAAAGTGGCGACGACATACAGCACTGGACTCAACGAACGAGGTGGAAGCCCATGGCAGCAAGCGGGGATGCTGGATGTGACCAAGTAAGTATACACCCCTTTCTGCTCGTCTCTACAACTCCCTCTCTACCCCATGTAAATCACGGCTCACGTTCTCCTTGAGCCTCATCAGCTGCTTCAATCCTCGCAATGTTTTCCTTCCACCGTCCTCCATGCTCAAGCACCTCTGCAGACTGGTCACTGCGTCTTCAAAACGGACAATAATGATTATGTAGTGTGCATTCAGATCATTTTAATATACTTATCATACTATCAACTATAAGTTTACTGTCAGAATGTCATTCCCGCTACGTTAGTACTGGGTTAGGCTCGTGACCAGCCTGTATATGATAACTTCAATATACTTAGTCATCATCATTGTGGATCGATTCCAGGGTTTTTCTTCGTGAGGTCATTTGCCACCAGACCCGTAGTGCTCAAGTATGTTAGCCTTCCTCTTCATTACAGCTACGGCTGGTGAGTCATTCCACTACCGAACAGCAAGCTAGCCGCAGAGAAATGTCAGACCTACGCCGCACAACCCCGAAAAGCATCTATACTCACCTTTCCTCTCAACTTCCCTTTAGATGGGGTTGCCGACACTCGCGCCAGACAGACCTCAATAGGTGTACCATTAACGACTTTGCCATGGCACGTTTCGATTGAGCACAACTTGGAAGCTTGCTTCATAACCCGACTCCCCCACGTTGGTTTGGAAGCATGTATTGCCCAATTGTTCGAAGGAGAGAAGCCATACCCCTGCGACTCAAGGTCAAACGCATGTTATTTTCGGACAGAGGCGATGACGTACTGTTCCTCGGTATCAAGGAGGGAAGTGGTAGTTCCTCGTCAAAGGCTGGAGGTCGTAGTCGATCCGATTATACCGTCCTTGCGAATGTAGGATCTGGTCATAACATGAATTACAATTAAGACAGTCGCAAAAGAGATTGAGTACCGTTTGATGACTCAGGAAAATGAACTTCGAGACAAAGGTCAAATGTAGTTATACATGACCCTCCTGCCTGCCAAAGTGGGAGTGATTGTACGGGCCAAGCTGGACAGGAGTGTCAGCGTTTAGGGAAGCGACACAGACATAGACAACGTACCACTTGCGATTCCGAATCTTCGGTCCAATTCAAGTGCTAAATGCGAAGGTCTTGTGGTTCCAGTTTGCCAACGTCGTGGCTGGTGGAATGGTCATGAAGGTATCTAGATGTGTCATGGACATGCGCTTGTAGCTGGTGGGCCGGTGGCAGCTAAGTCATCTTTCCATTTTGTCGTTTTACAAGCGCATAAAAACCTCCAAGATTAAGATTGCATGGTTCGTACACCACATTCGACTCACCTAAGCGCACAGACCCGCTTCTTTAGTTGCGCGCTAAGCAGCACCGCACGTCTACGTAGTTCTGGACACTGAATTTGAAGTTGGCGGTGAGAAACCCTCGAGTAATATTGGGTCGATTCGTCCGCCTTGAACAGTGAGGAGCGCTTTTCTGAAAGGTTACTGATTGATAGATCGAACATGAAGAGCTCCCATGGATCTCAAGTTGTACTGTCCGAACCATTGGGTGTTGTAACCGTAATCTTGGGTCTGTTTTGATAAGCACACAGATAACTAAGAACAGATATAACACACCCACCTCGACCTGAAACGTCCATGACCCACTCGTAAAAGTAGGGTCTCTAGCGGTGATGAGATCCACCAGTTTGCCCCTTCTTATTGGACACATCACTTTGGTGAAACACTTCAAAAAGGGTGTAAGCCCTTACGAACGACGAACCCGCGATCTGATTCAATCATGGTCCCTTTTGGGGTGAAAGTCCATTGCGACTGATGATCAGGGATTGCATGCCAGTGAGTCGTTGAGGTGGGGGACAATTCTCTTCATAGCTAGATTGATCATCTTCTCACGAGGTAAAAAGCTCGAGAAGAACTTACCAGCCACGCGTACAGCGTGGAGATCTGTCGTGTCCCAGGTGATTTGAACGTCAGGGAGTTGTTCAGCACGATGGCGAAGATTCCTAGATCGACACATGAGTCAGTTTCATCCGAAGTATGAGGGGTGGAAACTCACTTTGGACGGCACAACATCGAGGTCTCCACGGGTTTGAGACTCCGAGCACACTTAGGTCCTCAGATAGCTTCAGAGCACGTTTCAGGTGATAGAATTGTTGAGTCGTTGCTACCCACACCTTCGGCCAACGCCAATGGTCAACAAATGGAGCGTCAGTCGTGACGACAAGAACTCACTATAGGAAAGTTCCGACACGGCCCTCACAAGGCCCAGTGTACCCAAAGATGTAGGCATGGTCAACGGTCCATAACTTATCTAAGAAAGCTAGGAGATGTGATAAGCCATTTCGTTTCAACATATTCAATCATACCGACAGCTCGCTCCAGAACTCGCAAAATCCCAAAGCCACCACCGCAGAGCCGCAGCGTTGGCAATACTTCATCCACACGTCCGAGTCGAAGTTGCGGTATAAATCCTGAGTGATGCCCGCATGCACCTCATCGGGTTCTCGGCAGAGGAATCCTTTCCAACCCAAATGAACAGCACCGCGAATTCTTTCTATTCTTCACATTTCTTGACGGAAAACCAGAGGAAATGGTTGGATTAAAGCTAGGATGGAGGATCCGAGTTGGGAGGCGGGTATTTAGTGTTCGTCCATTATTGGGAAGGAAGAAGTGTCGGCACGATTGTTTCACGATCTAGAGTCCAACCACGCCAAAACCCTGGCCACTATAAGCTCAAGGGAGGCCTGCGTAGTATCTATCAATCTAGATGGAATGCCAGCTGTGGTATGACCTAACACACAAGATAGATGCTTACAAACGACGATACTGTGCCCCCTCTTGTGCTTTGGAATCCGTGCAGGAGGCAACATGGGGTAGGTTTGCAAGAACTTAAAGTTGGGCTGAATAGAGCGGCAATATCGTGTGTAACTAGAGCCGCATTGCGATCTTTGTGTGGAAGGACTGAATGAGAATAGCAATCGGACTCGACGCAGGAAGTACGCACCGCAAAGGGCAACGATGGGTCTTGCCTCAGCACCAGATCTTGGTTTAAGGATACGAGTATCTGCAGCTGCCCGAGCGCTTAGAGGGTCCGAGAGGGTGCGAGTCGCGTGTTCGACGTTGTAAGTTGAACCATCTTTACTAGAGGCTGGCTCCAATATCGAGTGTAGTCACCCTTGCGTCGCTGTTGATGCGTCGAACATGTCGTATCGAAGCATTTCGGCCGTACCCAGAAGCACAAGATTTGTGGTGCAGTTGAAGCTAAAAGAGAAACCACGAAAGAAAAGCCTCCAGGTCGTCTCATCATTCGCGTGTCACGTGATTGATGCCCTCACATCGTCGCGAAATCCTCTCGTCTCTGTGTCCAGCAGACGATCAAGAATAAGTTCTATGGGCTCTACGATAGTATTCTCAATGAATGCTTCCCTTCCACCCAGTTCACGGTCTCACCCCAGTACGTCACTGCAGCTATGACAGGTGATACCGGCGCCATTGGCAATTTTGCGATCACCTTTGTCATTGAGTCCTTAGATCTCGAGAGCCCCATTTTCTTCATCGACATCAAGCCTCCCACACACCTTCCCTCTTTAGTTGGCCGTCAAGATGCCGAAAACCAAGTTCGACGCCGGTTCTGGGAACTTAACCATCTCGTCCATGTACCGAAGTTGTACTACTGGGGTCAGCGCCATAGGAAGACAACTGTCCTTCTACACATATGAAAGAGCCAGCAGACGTGTCGAACCTATTCCCTTGGCAGACTCCGTCACCCGCATTGTGGACACTGCCCCTATTGAGAGGTGGAACACGAATATCATGGAGGAAGAGGGTCGTACCAAGTTCTTGGAGGAAATCAAGCAAATGGTCGCGAACATTGATACGGGTGTATGTATTCCGTTGTTCAAAGTTCAACCTTCCCCTACTTTATTCTAGGCGTGATCGAATCCGCCCCCTTGAGCTAGTTTATGGCATCGCGGCCATACAGTATCATTGGTTAGGCTCGTTACCAGCTGCTATTGGAGGTAAAACGGGAGAAAAGAAAAAATGCGTATAGAATTACCTCCAATAGTTCCACATTTTCTTCTTTTCCCGTTCTTTCGTCTCTAGCACCCTAAGGAGACTGGTTTCGAGTCTAATCATTGGTGGTGAGGGATATATATATTTGATATATATCACAGGAGTTAAAACTCGACCACACAATTATCAACGCTCAAACCGAATATGGGGCTGTCTACAACGAAACGGCGCGTGCCTTGAACCTTCCTATCATGATCGAAATCCTCTGCCAAATCGACCCAAGATGCATCGCCAATCCATAAGGTTTTTTAACACCCTTTCGTGGATGTCATCCCCTCACACGTTTGCGTTCCGTCGTGTTATCCTTCTCGCCCTGGGTCAATCCAAGGTCAATCGACAGGGTTGTGCTTGTCTTTTCTCTACCTAGTCATCATCGTTGTGAATTTCAATCGATTCCAGGGATTTTTCTGCATGTCAAACTTTATGAAGTCATTTGCTACTAATGTTTGTGAAAAATGGATTGCCTCTAGATAGGATATATTATGTCTTGCGAAGAAATGGTACACAATCCCGTCTTTGCGTCCATCACGTGTCTTGGATTCCTTTGATCTCAACTGCTGCCGGCGCTCAATGACTTCAACTGTTGAACTTGTCAATACTTACGCTAGAAATCGAACCTCTTCATGATGTCCAAGGGACATGCTTCTGATCTTCAACGATCACAGACCACGTCCGAATATGCCCACCCCTGTCTTCCCACAGACGTCTTAATCCAAATTCAAACTTTTCTGGAGCCAGACGACATCATCTCTCTTCGCAAGGTATTGATCACCCTACCCTCAGAATGTTTGATGCCAACGGATTCTTTATCATTTTTTTGAGACCTCTATGGTGCACGTCACCTACAGTCATTTCGGAAAACCTTGTCCACGTGCTTTTGAGTCGTCTCAAAATGTTTGAAAATAAAATAAAATAGAAAAAAAACTATAATCATCTACACATCTAAAACCAACACTAGAACCACACTCTTTTGTTTTTGTCTACCATGGATGCTACCAATGAAGAGCCTGACCTGGAATATCCTCCCTCAGACACTCCAATGGGCTCGGATGATGAAGTAGTTGGATCCGACGTGGCAACCCAAACTTGCAGCAACGAAGTGGAAGAACCCTATGAATGGACAGAGGGAAGCCTGGCCATGTTCGAAAATTATGGTGTGGTGCCTCCCTTGGCAATGCGGCAGGAATGCGAGGAAGAAAGCAAGGTTGACGAGGATTTAAGAGGTGTGTATTTGAGTAGCAAGTTCTCGCAACCCTGTTGACACCAGTCTTAGAGGCAGCCACTGCAGCTGCGAAGAAACTCACCATCCGTCTTCCTAGCCAAAACCAGCATAGAGGCACCAATGCGCCGAAGCTAGCTCCCAAAGCGCGCCATCTGGGAGACAACAAAGCCAAAAAACCTGCAGAGGAGGCCGATGGTGTGACAGAGATTTTGGACACACCTAAGGCCAGTAAGAAGAAGAGAAAGAAGAGAAAAAAGCTCACCAATCTGATACTGCAAGCGAAGACTCAGATACAGAGCCCAAGAAAAAGAAAAAAAAGGTTAAAGCTCACCGGTCAAGCATTGGAAGCGACTCAGATCCGGACACCGGCGAACTCCCCAAGGCGAAGAAGACCTCTCGTCAACGTGAGGTGGTCAGTCACGCTGAAGCTGACACCGAAGTCTCAGTTGCTCAGCCCAAGAAGCGTGGACATCCACGCAAGGTTGTCGATGACACACCAGTCACACCAAAAGTCTGGAGCGTGTCCGTGTTTGTTGAGATTGCTTTGCCTCCAAAGCTACAAACTGGGAAGACGCCATGTGGTGACAAGTTTGTGAATATGCCAGCCATGATGGGAGGGCCATTTGTCTTCATGCGAAAAATGACATGGGAGAAATTCCTGGAGGAGGTTGCTGAAATCGTGGACGTCGACATTGAGAATCTTGGGTTAGATGGCATGACATGGGGGTTCCAAGAGAAGAAGGCAAAATTACCACTCACCAACGACCATGGGTTCCAGACTATGCGGAACCAGATCAAGAATCACCGTGACTTGTCCTCCATCATCATCGTTGTCTACCACCCTATTCCTTGTGTTAGGCAACCTCGAGCAACATTGCGAGAAAGTTGCAGTGCACCTCAGCCAGATCCAGATGGTGGGAGAGTCCAGGAAGTTCCTACTCGGTGGGAAGCCAAGGTCAGCGATTCCATCAGTGAATGGCAGTTCTGCTCACACGCCTTCCCTGCACCTAGATCGGCCTTGATGTTCAGCTTGCACCCATCATCGAGAAGCTTGAGGAGATGTATCCTGTCTCGGCGTGCGCTGAACACCATGGAATCAGATGCTTGACGCACTCACCACACTCTGGCGAGTATTGGCACTTCGAGCTAGATCACAAAAAGCTATCACTCTGGGCAAATGCTATCGTGAGTTTTCTCAATGTCCTTTCTTCTGGTAGGGAGAAGGCTGATGTGTTCTGATAGCTAAGGTGTGAGACTAGTTATGATAGAGTCCCATTAGGTCGTGCAGGCTTTACTCTGAAAGAGAAAATGCCAGACAGGAAGCAAGCAGCACCACAAACTCCAGGACGAACACAAGAGGTCCATGCACAACCAAATGGCTTTTTCCCGGGCTACGGGCCTCCGACAATGGCTCCAATGCCCCACCCCTCTCCTCACTACTATCCATACCCACCACCCAGTCCCTTCGGCTACGGCGCCCCTCCTTTATGGGGGTATCCAAACCCTAATCACCCACCATCGATGCCAATGCCTCAAGCTACCCCTTCCCTCCCATTTCCAACACCTCAAGCTACCGCTTCTCTCCCACTTCCAGCATCAAACACGAATGGGGTCCAGCAGTGGTGTGTTCAGAACCGACTTGGCCAAGAAGAGTTTCAAGGCCTAGTCAAACTCGGGTTCCATGTCGGCGATGACTTGACTGGCCTTGATAGGGAGATGTGGACTTGGGCAGGCCTTGGCCCCTTGCACAAATCAAGGATTCTGGCAGCCTGTAATTCAGGCCAGGCTGGACCATCCAATACCACCCATTCATTCCCGACATCTCTTTGATTGACTGCTCCAACCCGGTTTTAATATATTTAACTTCAGTACTACCCTTCTTCCCTCCCTTCGTTTAGTCAGTACCACCCCTCGACCATCTATTCTCTGCTGCGACGTTCCCTATACCCCACATACTAATGTGCACGGAACCATATAATGATTTGGATTTGATTTCATACTAACTAGTAACCTCTTACTGCAGATCTTTTTAGACTGCGACATACCCTTAGTTACTCTAGCTCCTTAGTTACTCTTGTCTACATTTGTATATGTACGTACGTACATATATATATATCTTGTTACATATATCCACAATCCCAAAACCATCCCTCAGCTTTCTCGGGCGTGACAGCTGCAAAGCATGCATCAACGAGATCTTGTTCAGGGTAGAGGCTGTCTTGAAACTGTCGAAAGTTACAACAAAGGTAAGCCTTAACTATAAAGAAAATAAGTGATGTCGACAATCCAATTGCCCAATCATTTCAACTCACCACAACTGAAGCTTTCTTCGATAGGGGAAAAGTCAGGTGAGTATGGGGGTAAGAAGAGCAGATGGATGCCTGTTGCGACAGTTTCAGAATACTTGTCATAGGGAAATGAGAGCGTATGTCTCACCTGTGCCCTCAAATAACTCCTGGAGGGCTTCGCTCTTGTGAGTTGCACAGTTGTCCAGAACCAAGACACTACGGGGGCCTGGCCATGGGTTCATGCAGGGAAGCTAGTGTAGTACATCATAGTCAGTCCAAGGGTAAGAGTAAAATTCAAAGGACCCACCACGTCGTTGGCAATAAAGTCATAGAACTCTCCTCCATCAATTGAACCCTCTACAGCGCGCGCTGCAATGTAGCCTTTTACAGTAAGCGCTGGTAAGGCGCTATAATGGATACCTCGGTTGAGTGAGACGCTGTAGATGGGCTCGTGTCCGCTTGCTGCACGGCCATACTTTCGAATAAGAGTCTTCTCGTCCTTGCTCGTTTCGTCAACAACGACCATCTGCTCTGCAGTGTACGTGCTGAGGACGTCGTGCAGCCAGGCAGTACGTAATGCGTGATCGCACTCAGCGGCTTGCCGACGCATGATCTTCTGAGTGAGTCCAAGATCGCGCAAATTATTGTGAAGGGCAGTGGTGGACATAGGGATGTCATGGTAAAGGGCAAGCCACTCCCCAATTTCATCAAGATAAAGCTCCAGGGATTCGTCGATTAGCTCTTTAAGACCACGAGTAGCCTCAGCATCAAGCAGACGACGTCGACCTTGATGATAGGATGGAGGGATGACCGTACCATGTCGATCATAGTTGTCAGCCCATCGATCAATACTTTTTAATGACACACCGAGGACATCTGCAATTTCTGGAAGTTCCCAGCCTTCTGTGAGCAAATGGAGGGCGCGCTCCTTCATATCGGCACTGATTTTCTGAAAAACCATGGCTACAGAGCCAGGAATGGTTGAGTTTTCACTTTCTCACTTTTTCTTATTTTATTTTATTTTCGAACATTTTCAGTCAACTCAAAAGCACGTGGACAAGGTTTTCCGAAAGGACTGTAGTCACCGCTACTTTGGACAGCAGCCAAATTGGTGGAGGGATTTCTTTTTTTTTTTTGCAATACCCCAGTGGGGCGCCGCCAAGGGGCAACCACCCGAGCATCTGGTTGGGTCAACTGGTCCCATCGGGGTCGTGGGATTTAGCCTGATTTGACATGTGCATCCAAATGTCACAGTAGTAGTCACAAATTCTTATCTGTACATAGATCAGTTAGGTGTATGGCTCTTTGCCTCTGTAGCATGTTCCATAAATTCGATAAAATGAGAAGAATACTCGAGCATTTTGCACTCTGTGCAAGGTGGGTAGTCTGTACTGAGAATAGTTTTGAGGCATCTTTTAGATCAAAGATATATTTCATTTTCTTCTTCTCCAAACGAGACAGGTTTCCATCCCAATGATCCCATCACTTTCACCTCATGTCAATGATATGGATAAGTTTCCCAGATCGAGCCTGGAAGCCACTTGATACCCAAACCTGAGCAAGGAACTTCTTGCACTCCAGTAACCATGATCCGAGGCACAATAGATGATGGAGGAGGAGGCGGTGGAAGACCTTGATTTTTTTGTGTTTGTAGGCATGGTCCCATACCACGGTGAAGCAGAAAGTTCTGTGGATTTGCTGTTGTCGTCAGAGAAATGTCCGTACTGCAAAGATCACATTGAATACTGTGCTTCCCAGTAATATTATTGATTGTGGTTGTTATCCTAGGAGCGCCAGGAAGTTGAATTTCCTTTGGATCTTCAGCTGTGGGTCGAGGTTTTGGCATTTCTTTCAGTGAGAATGGGGGGAAGGAACAACAAATCAATTGAAAAGCCTGTCTACAGTGAAAACACAACATGCAAGGCAGATATTTTACATGTTATGGTAAGGGTCTTCAATTGAATCTGTGGAGCCCGTTGAAGCAATGTTGAAGGCACGTGCTAAATGAGCATGAGCGTGACAATCATTTTGGGATTGCACGTGTTGACTCCCACGACCCCGATGGGACCAGTTGTCCTAACCGGATGCTCGGGTGGTTGCCCCTTGGGCACTGCAGGCAATTTTCTTTTGACTTGGAAGATGCATTTACACGGTTTTTGCATGATTTTGAGATGCATAATAGCATATCTCAGGGAAATATTATACAATAGACTTTCATGAAGGAAGATTTAGTATTATTCCCAGTCAGGGGTGGCTGAAATGACCTCAGGTCCATTGTACATACAGTTTCGCATCTTCTGGAACCAGAACATACTGAGGTAGAGAGGATAAGATATGCCATTTTCGAACAATATTATGTAAGCTGGCCAAATCGGGCTCATGAATATTTATAACTCCCTCAATTTTGAATATTTTGCCAAACCGTCTGATATTTTTGTTCTTTCAATCAAATGCATCACTTTTGTAAAAGGAATAAGGAAAGGGGTCAGATTTGGACTGTCAATATCCTTCGTACAAAAGTAGCGGTGACTAGGTGACGTGCACCATAAACTGTTGTGCACCATCACAAAATTGCGAATTGTGTGGATCAACACATTGCGTCAAGTGTGTTTGATGCACGGCATAAATTTGTCCATGTTCTACCCACTTGAAAATCTCTTGCAAATTGAACTTGAACACGCTGCCTTGTCACCTTTTAAATTCATAAAATACACAAAAGATAATATTCCATCTGAAGGAGATATCAAACCTGTTGTGACTCGCATCCTTAAGCCTCAATTACTGCCTGTCTTTTTCACGGATGATGAGAACATACCCTTTATCTGTGTCACTCTTTTACTCATTCCAGGCAGTCGGTTTTTGTTTGATGATACGATGCAACACAGCATGCACCTTTGGGACCTCGGAATTCATGCAGGGATCCCAATGAAACTGTCCCCTATAGCAGTGCTTCCTACAGCACCAGGATCCTTTGTCAGTGTCACCAGCCCAACTCCAGATGGTCATGGAGTCTATGTTTGTATTGAACAAATGTAAGCAGCTTGCCAGTTTTTCTCACATGTGCATCCCACACAAATCATAGAAGCTTGAACATGGACAACCGTGTGTCGATCTACGAAATATACCCATCCTCTCCAGACGTAGCTTATCGTCTCACTCATTCCTTGAAGGTCAAAGGGACACTTGATAATGCATACATCTACAAAAACACACTGGCCTGCAGTTATTGTGACAATCTCATCACGGTCTGGGATTTTGTCGAAAACAAGGCAATCAGTTGGGAGTACAATCATGTAATACATCAACCAAATGGTGTCAGTGACTCGCCAGATATTAATCACTCTATTTATTGACTAATTTTTATTCTACAAGGCTATACTCTTTGCTGACACCCTCCTTCTCGTTGAACCTGGGAAATTGACCATCTGGGACGTGCTGAGTTCACTGTATTTGCTGGTATCAGATGATACGAAGGCTGCGGTCATCCAGCTCCTTCCCAGATTGGAAATTCATGCACTATTGACAGCTCAATCCCTTCGAGTTTCTCCCCCTAGTCAATGGCTTTCTGCAGGACAGTTGAGACTGCCTCTCTTTGGCTTGTGTAGCCCAACACCCGATGCTTTAAATGCTTCTATGCGATACTACACCTTCAAATATGTTCCTAGCAATCTTGATTACAAGACGTTTGATCCACAACAAGTGGGCATTGGCTCTTTTCCCATTTCAACAATGTCCCTGAACTTTCTACAACATATACGGTTTTGTGGCAAGTCGCTTGCCTTGACGTGGCAGGCCAATGGCAACATAAATATCAGCCTTATGAACATGCCACAGGGTGATCACGATGGCATGGCCACCCCCGCCACTCGACGTCTCTTCAACAGGGAGGAGGTTGTACTACAGGATTTCGATTTTTGTCCAGCAGCAGGTCGATTAGTTGTCACGACGGCTGCTGGATATATTCAAATTATGGATTTTCTTACCCCCCCTAGTACCCTACCCGAAAGCGTCTAATGCTTCCGGCGGTGTTCATTCAAAGTGACTATCCTCGGACCTTGACCAAAATGAGCTTCAACATTCCAGCAGAGGATCACTCGGAAGTTGTACATAATATGGGCAAAGTTGAATTATATGACTGGAGGTGGCCAAAGAAACTAATCAGTATGATGTAAGTCTACGTGTAGTGGATACTAGCAAAATAATTGCTCCTACTATGACGAGTTTCAAAAGTGTGAATAATCGATGGGGGTGTCAACTGCCCTTCTGGTCATAATCTCAAAGATCGACAAAGCACTTAACATTGTTAAGCCACTTCACAAATTCCTAATGTAAAGAAATGAGCACTGTGAGAGACGTGGTAAAATATGTTGCATAAACCTGTTTTTCTTGTGTGTGATAGTCGGGAATAAAGGCGGCAAAGTTTTCATTGACACCCCCACTTCTGTGGCAATTAGTCAAATTCATCCTGAACACCAACACCAGGCTTGGGCCTCAAACTGGAAGGTTTCATCTTTAAAAAGGTGAGAAGTACCACAGAACCAATGTACAAACCACAGCGCTTCCAGTCAGCTTCGGCAGTGAGTCCTTGGCTTGAGAAACAAGACAAGGTAGCACACAAGAATTCATCAGGTGACTCCAAAACTTGAAGGACAACTTCTGGCAGTCAGTAAGCCCCAGAAACCCCCAAGCACCATCAGCCAAACGTTCCGGACAGAGGAAAGTTGTGGCATTGAACAAACAAAGCTGACGTGGCACATTGACAAGCCAGGATGTTCTTAAATATCTACAAAGAGAGACTCTGGGGTCAGTTTAGGGTCTACTTCGATACAAAGGATCAACTCACTAAGGGTGAAGGATTCAACAGACGGTTTCTGTCTTTCTCGTTGACAAGAGCTAGAGCGATGCACAGCCTAATTCAGTGCTGAGGGTTCAGGGCAGAGAAAGAATGGGAAGAGGTAGGACAACGACTGAATTGACCGTTTGAGGATGAGTCTGTCAATCACGCAAGTCAGTCAACCTCCAACCCAGAAATCTCCCTGCAGAAGATTCTCAGCACACCTTAAGATGAAATGTCCCAACCAGAGAGACATAGGAAAGACTTTCTGGCATTGAGACATTGACTGATTGAGATGGCACTGAATAGTGTTTGGAAGTCCGGTCTGGTTATTGGCCCCCCAGTGGCCCTAACCGAGACTGAGACTGGTTAGTATATTCTCTCAAACCCAAATTAACCGGACCGAACCGATACAAACCAGTTATAGTCGGTATCAGTTAGTCTATGGTTACATAACCGGTTTTAACCGGTCACAGTTAGAACCAGTTACTAACTGGTTACAACCGGTTATTTACGTGTATAGTACTTATTACGAACTACAGTTTTGAAATATTGAAACATAAAGTAGCCTCTCAGCGAGGCGGCATGTGGGTGAAACACCGCCAGGCATCACTTTGGGCAATGTGCAATGACCTGGCACGTCAATGGACATGCCAGGTCATTGTTGTCCGTTGTTGGGCTGGTGACATGGCATTGCCATGTTGTCATCATGGTAGGTGGCAATCTGTGCATCGAGGGGGAGAGAGGATCGAGCAGGCTGTTTATTGAGAGAGGGGGGTGTGCATTGAGTAGTGTTTGAAAGTCCGGTCCGGTCCGGTTTTTTGATGCCCAGGGGCATTAACCGTAACTGTAACCGGTCTGCCTTTTCCCCAGAAGTCAAAAGACCAGACCGGACCGCAAAAAACTGCAGTCTGCGGTCTTTTTGCGGTCTATAGACTGGTTTCGGTCTGCATCGGTTTTAACCGGTTTATGACCGGTCTTTAGGCTAATATTTTAAAATTATGAATTGGTAAATTTATTAACATCTCTATTAGCTTCACAACGAGCCCAAGAACGTCAAATTCCGTTAGGAATTGGTTCTTCTATAAAATAAGTCTGGTACATCTATTATTCCCAAAAGTAATTTACATTTTAATTCATATCTCTCTCGTTTTTTTACCAAATCGTACGTTCTTGGGTGCGTTTTAAAGGGTATTTAAGGGGCTACAAAAGACCGGTCCAAACCGGTCAAGACCGGTTCATGTTAACCGGTTTTTTTGCGGTCTTTACATCTCAAAAATAAAAGACCATAACCACAGGTCCGGTCTGGTTACGGTCTTTTTCCAGTCATGAGACCAGACTTCCAAACACTAGCATTGAGAGAGGGTACCATGCGGCAAGGGAGAGAGGTCATCCATCCAGTGAGGGAACATTGCTGAAAGAGATGTTGTAACTGGGTTCCGTGTGAGAGAGATGAGTGGTGGGGGGAGGTGAGCTTACTGTGTTCTCGTCGCATTGTTGTCATCTCATGTTGTTGTTCCATTGTTGTCGTCCTGTGGCTCAGCGAAGACAGTTGGGACGAATGTGGGATGGGGGGTGCTTACTGTGGAGTTCTACAGTACAAAATGACAACCAATCTTGGTTGTCGGTCATCATTTGTTTGCCATTTCACTGTCAGCAATGTGGCACCCGGTTTTGTTGTTGGTGGGTGTGGTGACGTGGCATTGTCACGTTGATGTTGTTGTTGGGTGCGTAGTGGTGGTTGGTGGTGGTCGAATGTTGCGGGAACTGGTGGTTGTCGATGGCAGTGGTAACACAGTGGAAGTGGGTCGCCGTGGATGGTGGTGGTGGTTGAGAAGGACAAAGATTGTTTGTTGATGATGGGCATGTAATGTTCGTGGCAAACGCCAGTCACACGTAGTGCTTGAAGGTCTGGTTAATTAACTGGAAAATAACCGAGACCAGACCGGACCTTAGTGGTTAGTAAATTCTGGAAATGAAATAACTGGTTATTTTGCAGTTAACTAACTGTTAAAAAACCAGTTATGACTGGTTAAAACCTGTTTTAATCGATTTTCTATTTTTTCGGTCCTAACTGGTTAGTAACTGTGACTAACTGGTTTTGGTCGGTTATCTTCAGTCCAGTTAGGTTATTTTGGGTCTGGGAACGAACCCTAACTGGTCTCGGTCTCGGTTAGAGCCCCTGGGCACCCAATAACCTAGCCTAACCGGACTTTTAAACACTAGTCATGTGGCTCAGTTTGGTTTCAATATCTAAGAAAGGCTGTAAAGACCGGTTATAACTGGTCCTAACTGGTCATTGTTTGGTCTTGCAAACTTTGAGATCACAACTAACCGAAGACCAGACCACGGTTATGGTTAGTAGTGGTTATGGTATGTTTGCGGTTACTACCAGTTACGGTCCGGTCCAGTCTTGGTTAATTTCCAGTTAAGCGACCTAACTTTCAAACACTAGTGCCGAAGATGAACTTGAAAGACGTCCACATGAATCTAGCTGCAACGACTCAGAACCACCCAGTCCAGAAAAAAACTGTCAGTGCACCGCCTCAGAAGTTGAAGAAAGGTTACATGGATGGATTGAATTGAGAGTACAAGCCGCATGAACTGTTGAGTCTTGTGAGGGCATACGGGAACATTAGTCTTCAACCCACGAAGTCAAAGGAGCTTTGAATCCTCTTTTTTTGTCCAATTGAGTGGGACTGGATATGAGCATAACCCAGAGAAAGACTCTGCGAAAATTAATCAGTCAACGTCCTAAAGATCAACGTACCTATCGAGCCAAAAGTCCCAGCTCGATGTATCGGGAGCAAGGAGCAAGATTGACATCAAGTAAGGGGCTGAGAACAGCCAACCAGGACGTTCCCCAGAAATCTGTGTACATAGTCAGTCAGTTCAGCATCTCCTATGCAACGACTTACATGAGGGGTTGAGCAGAGGGAGAGTCAGAGATCCAGGCAAAGATATCCGCAGATAGTTTGGACTCCACACTTTGATAGTCTTACAACTCCTGTGAGAACCATGCAAGAGAGTCTGTCTGTGGAGCAAAGTTGGTCAATGATTTGATAGATTCTAAAAGTGTTCTTCAATGCACCTATTGATCAAATGTCCAAGCCAGGTACTGCTGGCGAACCAAGATGACACCAGAATCTGGCGGAATGATGCTAGGTCAGTTACACTATGCGAAGAAGGACCATGGATATGGACTTACATGTGTACCTAGAGTACAGGTGTGTGTTCTTGAGGTCAAAGGGCTAAGGCCCTGAGCCCACGAGGGTCAGATAACTTTGAAGAGGCCATGAGTGTTCTGGTATGAGAGAAATGAACTGGAGTACAGTTGTGGAGGGGAGGGACACTGATCACGGAAAGAGTCTACAAAGCCAGTTAAGTAACAAGTCTGGTAAAAGTCGACGTACCATTAGGACCGTGACAGCTGTTGCACACAGACAGAAGTAGGCCATATAAAAGCATTAGATTTCAAAGGTACTTTTCAAAAAACGATCTACTGTTTACTCATTCCACCCCTTCAAAAAAAAGACATCAGCTCAACCCAGCAGAACAAAAAAAAATTTGACAAACCTATTGACCATAGCCAACTTATGTGGATCCTCCCTCAACTTCAGCACAGGGCTATCCCCTCTAACAATTGCAATAACCTCCCTCACAAGTCATTCCTGCAATGTCCTTCTGCTCATCTTGCCCTTAACCTCCGCCAACAACCAATCAATCCCCTTCTTCGTCCTCTGCCTCTCATTCAGTGGATAAGGCCTCACTTGACTCTTTGACCCCGACTTGAACCTGATGTTTCTTACCGCTGGAGACGCCATTAGAATCACAGAGCATAAGATGGGAAGGGCGGGTGCACGCATGTAGGTGTGGATGTAGAGCAGGGTGTCAGATGTTATTTTTGCTGCTTTTGAGTAAAGCCCGTTCTTCATTATGGAAGTTGTCAAGAGGTGGAGGAGGGGGTCGTGCGCTGGGGGGATGTCGTAGAATGTGGGTAGCCTGGAGGATTTCTGGGATAGGGCTAGTGCAGCTGCTGCTTGGCCTGCTAGAGAGTCTGTGGGTGGTGTGGACAGTTGGCAAGGTGCTGGTGGTGGTGGGGAGGTGAATATGCCTAGAGCTTCTGTGTTCAAGTCGATGTTGGCTCTTCTTGGGGTCATGCTTAGAGTGCATTGTAGAAAGGTATGTCAGATGCAGGAGATCCTGGAGAACATCATGGTGGTATGAAAGGTCCCAAAAATAACACGTACAAAGAAATGAAAGGATCCATGACACCATCTGTCATATTAACTGTTTCTCCCGATGCTTTCTTCAGTTCATACACTATGGACGCTATTCCTTACAAGGACCCAAAGCTCGGGATCATCGATGATGCAGTGAAGGACATGCTGACTCAACTGTCCAACCCTGGACTGTGATTACATTGGAAATGGTTGAGGTGACTTGAAACTTCATGTTCGCACCACCCATGGCAAACTTATGTGGTCCGTGTTTGGCCCTCTGGATTTGCTGAATTTGCCTGACCTTCACAAAGTGAGCTTTGTATTCAAAGCAAGAAGGTTTTTTTGTGCATGAACATGCATTATATCCACTGAATTTGCTGCCTGTTCTCCCGTCCATGCACCATCCGTCCAGGGAAGACCACACTGGAAGATGCAAGCCAAATAGAGGGTGGCATACACCCCCTATGTGGATTTTTGTTGAGACGTTTCTTTAGTGGTGATGAATTGTACCTGAATGAAGTCAGAGATCAATAGTGCGTCGATTTCTGCGCGTCCTGCTTCTCCCTAGCTGACACAATCACACCACAGTTTCATTAACTACGAGAGTTTAGTATGTCTCGTTGCTTGGGTCATTGACCTGACAAAACTAATTATCCATCTTAGGAAAGGCACTTTAACAGCATTCACCATCCTTGCACACAAAAAGAGTGCTGTAAGCAGTCTCTAGAATGCACAAAGGACCACCTAAGCCAAAAGGCAGAATAACTGAGAAGTTATATTCTCAGCCAGTGCATCCTATATATGATACAGTATGGGAACTGTAGTAATCATGCCATGATTACAAGTGCCAAGTGGGGTTTATCTTTCTATTGTGTGGAACAATTTCTAATAAATTTTCGCAGGAGACATGCCCTTTTCTTGACACGTTTGGAAGCTGTTGCTTCTAACCTTCCTACAGCAGTACCTGCCGTGAGGGCTGTGACTTGTGGATTCAGAGGCCATATTGTGGATCTGGCCATTAACTGCTATGGCCGTCATGTACTGTAGAAGGCGCTCGACTGTGAAGAGGATATTCATTTGTTGATCGTCTCTGAGCTGCTTCTCAGAGATCTGGCACAAATGCTTGTGAACAAGCATATCTCCCATGTCTGGAGTAGTGTTTGGAAGTCCGGTCTCGTGACTGGAAAAAGACCGTAACCAGACCGGACCAAGACCGCAAAAGACCGGACCTGCGGTTATGGTCTTTTATTTTTGAAATGTAAAGACCGCAAAAAAACCGGTTAACGTGAACCGGTCTTGACCGGTTTGGACCGGTCTTTTGTAGCCCCTTAAATACCCTTTAAAACGCACCCAAGAACGTACGATTTGGTAAAAAAACGAGAGAGATATGAATTAAAATGTAAATTACTTTTGGGAATAATAGATGTACCAGACTTATTTTATAGAAGCACCAATTCCTAACGGAATTTAACGTTCTTGGGCTCGTTTTGAAGCTATTAGAGATGTTAATAAATTTACCGATTCATAATCTTAAAATATTGGCCTAAAGACCGGTCATAAACCGGTTAAAACCGATGCAGACCGAAACCGGTCTATAGACCGCAAAAAACCGCGGTCTGCGGTCTTTTTGCGGTCCGGTCTGGTCTTTTGACTTCTGGGGAAAATGCAGACCGGTTACGGTTACGGTTAACACCCCTGGGCATCAAAAAACCGGACCGAACCGGACTTTCAAACACTAGTCTGGAGCAAGGTAAACCTCTCAAAATTTGTGAATCTCGATTTCATCGCATGCCTATTTCAGATCATGGAACTGTTGTGGACACCCCCTGCCCCACACATCTTTGCATAGTAACTCCATTTTACAAAGTGCGTCGCGCAAGCTCATGGATGTTTCAACACAGTGTCAACAGTCCCTGAAGGGCAAATGGGCTTTTGCCTGCCTGTCATGAGACTGGTCCCTGAGTCCAGTGCATGAGATCTTATCTCAACAATCTGGAATGTCCTGGACAGGAACCTGGACCACACAGCTGGCATTGTAAACGTCTTTGTTGACCTCCTGGACGAGGAAGAAAAGAAGCAGGATCTGCTATCGTCAGGGAGAGGATTCACAATTGAGGTATGTAGACAGCCATGCTTCGAATAATGTTTCAACCTTTGAATTTCTTGTCCACTTTAGCAACATTGTCAATTCCCTGACTACAAAATTACTAGTGTGCGCTTTTTTAGACTACAAAAGTTTGTAGTGTGCGCTTTTTTCATTACAAAGGTTTGTAGTCTTGTGTTAATGACAAAGTTTGTAGTGTGCACTTTTTGGACTACAAAAGTTTGTAGTCTTCGCTTTTTTCATTACAAAGGCTTGTAGTGTGCGCTTTTTTCATTATAAAAGTTTGTAGTGTCCACTTTTTTCATTACAAAAGTTTGTGGTCTGCTTTTCTGATATCTTGTAGTCTCCTATTATGTCTGACCATAGCCAACCTTAACATGTCCTCTCTTAAGACAATCTCATTGTAGACTGTCCTCCCTTTCTATTTCATCATCAGCTAGCTGCCACTACCTGCCCTGTCCAATAGTTAGTCTTGAATGTAATTCCTTAGAGAGTACAAAGTGTGAATGATTTGCCAGCTGTTTGGCTGCAGTCAGTTTGCCTGAAACATCAGGTCTACCCCCATATACCTACATAGATAATAGGAGACTACAAGATATCAGAAAAGCAGACCACAAACTTTTGTAATGAAAAAAGTGGACACTACAAACTTTTATAATGAAAAAAGCGCACACTACAAGCCTTTGTAATGAAAAAAGCGAAGACTACAAACTTTTGTAGTCCAAAAAGTGCACACTACAAACTTTGTCATTAACACAACCAGAAGACTACAAACCTTTGTAATGAAAAAAGCGCACACTACAAACTTTTGTAGTCTAAAAAAGCGCACACTAGTAATTTTGTAGTGAACACAAGCAGAAGACTACAAACATTTGTAATGAAAAAAGCGCACACTACAAACTTTTGTAGTCTAAAAAAGCGGAGACTACAAACTGAAGTGGTATTATGTAATGACCTTCCCAATTGGGAAATATGCGAACATCATCATGAACAATGACAACACTACTGCCCTTTGCATATATGATTGAACACTCGAATTTTTTCTCACTATTTGTCCTGGCCAAATATGATGACAAATTTTGCCAAATTAGGCAAAGATGGGTAGGGAACAATGTTCTGAGAATACTTAAGTATACCATCCACAAGCTCTCTCAATGCCTTCTGGCCATGAACAACATTGAAAAAAGCTCTGTCATTCTTAGAATATAATTAAGTGACAAGAATATTTATCTCTGCCTTCATTCATGAGAATCTTTTCCCCAATCCTCTTTAAATTTGCCCAGACCTCATTCAAGTAGATACTGGGTTGCTAGCTCTGCAAGACTGTCAAGAAATGCGAGATATTTGTATTCTCAGCCTCCTGGGGTATTTATTATAAAACATTGTAAAGGGATGCTTAGGGATCAGTAGATTGACCATAAGTATAGCTACTCAAGCTACTGCTAATGTACCAGATCAATAGCCTAAAAACTCATCAAGCTTTGTGTAAGAATACCCATAACCCTGAGGCCACTTCACCATGTCGTCTCTCAGATCTTTGCAGAGGGCGAGAGCCAGAGACGGACGAGACCTTTGTCTGTCGGCTTAATTTTGCAACATTTGTCATCATATTTGGCCAGGACAAATAGTGAGAAAAAATACAAATGTTCAATCATATATGCAAAGGGCAGTAAGCTAGCCACTAACTCTTGTGGCCCAAAGAGCGTGGGAAACAGTTCCCAACCTAAATGCGCACTGTGCCTGACATTAGGTGTGGCAGAAAAAAGTGTAACACTTTTCCTGATTAGGAAATGGCCCAATTAGGAAATAGTGCGCACATCATCATTAACAATTTTGGTGCTCAGTGCCTTAGACTGTAACCGTAGCTGGTCCTCCCAATTCAAAAAACCAGACCGAACCACAAGAGACCAGTCTTTTGCGGTCTTTTGCGGTTACGAGACTGGTTTTGACCGGTTCTGGTCTTAACCGGTTTGTGACTGGTCTAAACTGGTCTTTGTAGGGGTCAGGTGGCCAAGAAACAACAATATACTAAATATTTTAATGTACAAGGGAGGGGGTCACTGTACACGACTTGGTAACAATGCACACAGGTAACTATGGATGTCTTCACATCCAACTTGACCATTCATTGACACACCAGGTCCTCATCAACATACACCATCTGTCCATGTACCATCATCGTTCTTCTGTTATGTCGCCGTCAACATATGCCATCTGTGTCGTTCATCCATGTATCGTCATTCCTGTTGTCCATCTGTGTGTAAACGTCATTGTTCATGGGTTACTGGTTGACATGTTATCGACGGCAACGTGACCCCTGCTTCTCATGTCAAAAAAGGAGAGGGGGAAGGGGGTAACAGTTGCTCACCTGGATCGACATCAACCGATGTGGTCATCTCTGGCCACTACCTGCCATTTGTGGGTGTTGTCATCATGCCAAATTGTCGTTGAAATGGCGTGGACTCAATGATTCAGTTGGTGATGTGGCGTGGCCACGTCGTTGTCACTGTTAGCATATACAGGCGTTGTCGTTGGGTGTCGTCGTCGTGCCAAGTCGTTGTTGAAATGATGTGGGCTCATTGATTCAGTTGGTGACGTGGGGTGGCCACGTCGTCATCACCATTAGCGTGTGCAGAGATGGTTGGGGTGGTTGTGGTTGCAGCCATGTCGCTGTAACAACATGCCCTGATCTTTGTGTGAATAAAGGTGAGAGGGAGAGCAGTCACATTGCTCACCTCCAGTAATGTAGATAGTGACGATGTGAGTCGTCATTGTCACTATCTGGACAACGTGGGACATCCGTTGACGTGCCATGTTGTCACCGTCCATCATCGTCATTCATCTGTTGGGTGGTGACGTGGCCTTGCCAAGTTGTCATCATTTTCTGCATAGTTGGCAGCAGTTGAAGGATGATTGCGAGAGGTGGTGGTTGGTGGTGGCAATGGTGATGGATTGGAGGTGGTCGCAGGGATGGTGGTGTGGTGGTGGTTGAGAAGAAAATACTTTGTTTGTTGATGAACGTTACTATTTGGTTCTCATCAAAAACATACAAGGTTCAATCTATTCTAAGTTTGGCCCTCAAGACTCGAGCACAAAAGACTGGTCTTTGACCGGTTAATTCGGTTTTTGCTCAGTCTTGAATTATTGAAAGTCGTAGAGGACCGTAGACTGAACCGCAGTTACGGTCTTTGTCGGTCCTATTAATTTCCGGTCTTGATCGGTCACGGTCTGGTCTGGTCATGGTCTTTTTCCAGTCCTGTGACCGGACTTCCAAACACTATTAACAATGACGACAGTAAGCTAGCCACTAACTCTTCTGGCCCAAAAAGCGTGAGAAACAGTTCCCAACCTAAATGCACACTGTGCCTGACATTAGGTGTGGCAGAAAAAAGTGTAAAAGGCTTTTCCCAATTAGGAAATAGTGCGCACATCAAAGCGCACACTACAAAGTTTTCTAACTAAGCTTGTCTTTTCTAATGAAAAAAGCACACTACAATTTTTGTTTGGTTAAAGCTATTGGTAAATATATGTAAACAAACTTCGAAATGAGGGTTTTCTGCCTTCCTCTGCATAGATTATGGTTCCTGTGATATTTTAAGCATCTATCCCATCAATCTCTTTTTCATTTAGCATAGCCACGCCTTCCATATTTAGAAATTCACACTGGATCCTGAGAACAGCACCTCAAACATCAAACAACATGGTATGGTATGGGAGTGGAGTACCATGGTATGGTATAAGGATGCAATACCATGGTATGGTATGGGGGTGCAATACCATACCATGGTATGATTCCATTTCCATGATATGGTATGATTCCATGCTCATGGTATGATTCCATTTCCATGGTATGGTATGATTCCACCCCCATGGTATGATTCCATGCCTATGGTATGGTATGATTTCATACTCATGGTATGATTCCATGCCCATGGTATGGTAT